CAAAGACGCGTAAAGACGCCATATGTGGGGGTCGCTGCTTGGGGGTGTCAAAATTAGTGTCCGTTTCATGGCTTCACCTAATCCTGACTTGAATGCTGGATCCAATTCAATGAAATGCGATGCTGAATTGAAGCATAGATGCGAAGCGAGCACGTCCCTCAGATCTTCATGTTTGCCTGTCCTTCGAAGAGGCCATCATACGTTGTCCACGACGAGAATCGACCGGATCTGACCGTTTTGACCCGTTGGTTTGCCAAGGCACCCATTTTAAGCAAGGTCCCCGCAAGGCGTGCCTTTCATTCCAGGCTTTGCGAGTGAGTCGGCGATACGGGCGTAGATGTTCCATTCTTCCTTCGGGAGCAGGTCTAACTGCCCGCAGCCCCAGGTGGGCTCGGTGTACTCTAGGGTCACAGAGGTCCAGTCCGGGACCTCTGCTTGGGGTGGATTGGCTGGTTCGTATCTTGGTCGCGTCTCATGATTGTGAAAACATGGCCGTTAGAGATGAAGGGACCCCCACTGAAAGTACCACTGTGGGATAGCCCATTTCGGTATGATTTTCCGGAACCATGTTTTGTTTCCCGCTTCCTACTTACAGAAAGCCTCCAGAGTCATGAATAGCATCCGCAGGAGCAGGCTTGTGCTTTGCACTTCCAAATGTTGCAGAGGATGTGCCTCCATGCTTCATACTTCGCGGCGCGCTGGACTGATTTGCTTTCCCCGCATTTGTTCGAATTGATTTGCAGGGTCCTCCCAATCTACACACGATGAATGCCCTGTCTCAAGCCGCAACCTGGTGGATTTGATCTCCGAATCCTCTTCAATAGGACGCTCCTCCAACATGGCAGTTCGCGCGAATCTGAGTGGTTCTGGGCAAGTCTTTGAGTCTTGAGTCACGGCTTCGGAGCTCGAGGCTGGCATACCGAACCCCAGGAAACATGTAGCCGCCAGCGGGCCCATCGCTTCACAACTTTCAGTGTTCGGCCCCTGCAGGGGTTGTTCCTCGCCTGTTCTTGGCAATCCTTCTTCTCAAAAGCACGCCTTGTTCTTCAACCCCGGTTGTCATGGTAGTTTGGAAAGAAGCTTTGGCCCAGCATGGAACAGTTGGAGGTGTCCGTTGAAACATTCCACAGTCCGAGGAGCTCTACGTGGTTCCATTTTGGCCCTGGCCCGGCGCCCCCCCGCCCCCCCCCCAATAAAAAGAAAGAAGAACCAAGCAAACAAAAGCGAGACCCAACAAGACCATAGCAAGGGGATGGCGGGTGGTTATATAGGTCTTATTTCGGAGACTCCCACCATGGCGCTTAGGTGGGAACTGTTGGCGCGGTGTTTGTTGTGTGCGTCGGGGGAATCTCGATATTGGAAGGCCCCTCTCAGTTTGGTGATGTGATTGACTGCGGGCTGGGGATATGCTCTACAAGGAGGTCTGAACCCAAGTTGTCGCAAAATTGCACCACACTCCTTCTCCCCGGGATTCTCCTTTTCGAAAGGCAAGTGTGAACCTCAGCCATGGCAACGAAGAAGTTTGGCACTGGATCGTTTCCGGGCGCATTGCTCGCTTCGAGGTCTTGAGGTGGCGAGCTGACAAGGAATTCGGGACGGGAAGATTCAGAGCTCCTTCAGGCATGTTCAGGGAAAAGGGTCCAATCCAGGGATGTCTTTGTGCTACACTGGGCTTCGCAAGAGGCTGCTGGCTGAAAGAGACTGCGAGACGTCTTGCTCCCGTGTGGTCCTTTCACATTTCACTGGGTCGTTCAAATTCAATCCTTAGTCCTTGCAGATGGTAACCTGGTAGTGGGTTCTATAGTAGTGGTGTCCCTCGAGTACCGGTTGCAGATTATGATTTGGGATCGCCCAAGTCCTTGGTTGCTCCCTAGTACGACCGGACACATTGACACGTTTTGGAAATGAGCGTTTCCTTGGCAAACAGTTCAAGAAGGGTCCCAAAGGCCAACCCAAATTTGAACGACCCAGTTTCACGCGTTCCGATATCACCAGGACAGGACCCCTCAGAAATTGAGGCGGTTCCAACCTTGGCGCGCCTCCGAAAAGGCTTCTGGGGCGATCTCTCGGTCGCTGGGCGGGTGGTCCAAGTGTTTGGCTCCTTAGTTTCGAGCAATGAAAGTGATCCCCTATCCACTCCTTGCGTCAGGCTTTTTTCCCTGAGCCAGCCTTTCCCTTGTTTCGGCCAGTTGCAGCGGACATCAATTGAGCTATAGCTTGGTGCTTTCCACAGGGAGAAGTGGGTATCATCTCAAAGCAAGGCCCAGATCAGTTGATTTCAGCCTTTGGGCCTCCCAGTGCTTCCAGTTACCTCCATGTGCGGAACCAGCTTGGTTACCTGCCATATTGGTAACTGACCGCTGGTTCCAGGAACCACAAAAGAAGGGCCCGGAACCGTGAAATTGGGGCCCGGAACAGTGAAAAAAGAGCCCGGAACCGTGAAAAAGAGGCCCGGAACCGTGAAAAAGAGGCCCGGAACCGTTAAAACCGTTAGACAGGAATCAGGTTCCCGCTTTTTTGGGAACCAAGCCTGGTTCCCAAAAAATAGAAGTCGCCAACGGCCAGTTACTAGCTATACAGGTTACTTGGAGTCGCTGGGCCTGTTTGCTTGGTGTATTCCGCGCTGAGATGCTCAACCCATTCGAAACAGACCCTTTTGATTACGTAATCCTGGTTGCATCTGCAGCCATTGGGTTGCAGGCCCATTCTGCCTCACTCGCCTCGCAGATGACGGGAGAGAAGTTCTTCCTGCTAGAATCCCCTGATTTCCCCGAGACATCGCTAGGACAGCATTGGCTGCACTCTCTGCTATGCAGAGGCCTGCTCGCTTTCAGAAGACAACTGCACACCCTGCGAATTCGACCGATCAGACTTATTTTTGCATTTACCATTCCATGTCAGTTCTTAGTCACTTGTTTGACTGATATATGATATCTTTCGAAGGCAAGTACCTGCTCCTATACGCAAGATCGTCCATGGCTATAATTTGAACAAAGGGTGCACACAGCAAACATGAGTTGATGTTTCGAAGTTCTTCCCTAGCAGGAAGCCACGAATACTCAAGTTGCCGAGACCCTCGGTAGAAATTCGGTCGGTGCTTTCCTTTAGTTTCCCTTTCCGGGGCTGCCATTGCCGTTCGAACCCAACAAGGCTAACTCTGCTTTCGGCAACATAAAAACAGGTCACAGGGTAGCTCACCCCGGGAGTCTCGGACCTCATGCACTTTGTTGGAATCGCCATTGTGGCAAAGAATACGTGTCAACTTGGCCAATCCACTCGGTGGGACGTGAGCCAAGAAACTCGGTCACCTCATGGGTCGACGGCATGGGCTCGGCCGCCTCCGCGTCCCCTGCGGATTCGGAAGTGGCACTGCTGCGGAGCGCAGCGCAGCGAGGGCTGCAGGATGAGGACCCTTCGTTTGTTTAGTTTTAGTTGTTTTTTTTTTTTTTTTTTTTTTTTGTGGGGGGCGCGACCAGCATTTCCCGCGGGCTTGAACCATGGCCGTTTTCTGCGTTTTCTCTTTCTGATGATTGGTGAATGGTGTTAGTGGTTCGTTGGCCCAGTTCCCTTTGCAGCCGCGCAAGTAAAACTTTGCATCGCGGAAGCTTGCGGAAGCACTTGGCCGCGAAAGCTTTGCGGAAGCTCTTGATTTGCATGTGGCATGTGCCACCGCAGTCTTCCCGTAGTCTTGCCGCACCCTTTGTCCAGCCTTCCCAAGGTCCCGTTTTTGTGGTGTTGTCTTCTCGCCCTGCTTTCCCGCGCGCCAGCCTGACTTTCCGTGACCTGGTCAAGCGGCAAGCCGGTTTCTGGCTTGCTTTGCACCTGTGCTTTGACAGCCTTCCGGCAATCCGGTTGTCCCCAGCTTCTCGGACCATTGTTTTCCCGTGTTTCCTTGCTCAGCCGCCTTGTCATCAAAAGCTTTGTGGCACATTTGGTCAAGTTCCTGCAGCTCAACTCCCGCTGTCCCCCTGCGCTAGTTTTTGTGACGGTGTCAGCGCAAAGCCCATTCTTCGCCTTGCGAAAGCAGCCAAACCTTTCTTGCACCTCAGATAACGCTCGAAGCAGCTCAGCTTCTCCGTCAGGCTCCAGTGCACATTGACGCAATCAACAACGTTGCCATTTCGTCGAGTAAGCTTTGCGTAAGTGTCATGCCTGGCTTGCCTGCCGCGGAAGGAGTGGGTGGCGCCGCGTATAGCGGAAGGTATGGCAGAAGCGGTCCATAGGTCCTCAAGGTTTTATGGCTTTTGCTCTCTCAAGTTTCGGCTAGTTGATATTCCCCAAGTGCTTGAATTGCTTTTTCGGGTTCCCTCCAACATCCCAGGGCTTTTCTGTTGTGAGTCTCATTGGTAGTTCGGATCGTTTGGAAACTCTTGGGAACCCAATTTGTTAACGAATGCCCCATCGATCTCCAGTGCAGGTCGTCAACTAGTTCTGGGGATGCGAACCCTGGCACGGTTGCAAGGAGGGAAGCACGGGAACATGATAATTTTACAGGGGGCTTTGAAGTTGGATGCCGCTGGCTCGCTCGCTTTACATTTCAATCCGAAAGCCGCATCCTTCCGAGGATGCCTGGCCAGAGCTGCAGGCGGCGACAGCCGCCGAATCTTCGAGGGCGTAGTTCTTGTGAAGGTTCACTACGTATGGACCAGAGTCAAGCATATATGTTGGTTGGGGAGGTTGCCCCCTGTAAACAAATTGCTGACAAAAGGCCCAGCGATTTCCATGTCAGACCCAATCTTCGTTTAGATCTCACAGCCAATTGGCGTCCCATGCTATCACAGCCAGAAGTAAATATTCAAAGATTCAAGGAGACATGGCTATGTCCATGGCTACATCCACACATTGTTTTAGCAGCTTGAAACTCACAATTATTATCCCAAATCAAGGCAACCAGAGCCCGTACCTGCACTCAATCCTGCCGTTCATGGCCACTAGGTCCACATGGATGTCAGGCGCTTGAACCAAAAACACCGTGTCCAGGCCGCCGTGGCAACGGGAGCATGCCTGCCCCAGCCAAGTACACATAGCCACGGGAAACAGCACCTTCAGAGTGTGTTTGCGTGGGATCCGCGCCTGTTTCTTGCAAACCCCGACGCAGTTGCCAGACCTTGATTCATTGTATCCTTGATCTGCGTAGGTCCCCAACAAATCCAAACAACCAGGTTCTTGGGCGGATGTGTCCCAAATGCGGAAGCCACGTTTGGCAAGCGGTGTGTGGTTGGACCCTTGTACCCAGGTAGCGACTCGGTCCTGCCAGGCCTTGGCGCTCCGGCTGAAGCTCCCGCAGGCGAGGCAGCCTTCGGGCGCGCTTGGGGAATGAGAAGTGGGTGCCGAGATAAACGGTCCAGGTGGCTTCCTTCATGGGAATTCTCAAATGTTCATTCCCTTCTGAGCAGCAAGAAAAGGGAGCCCCCTAAAAGAATACCCTCCCGACTAACATGGGAACCTGACAAAGCCTGACGTGGACCCGGTCCCTTAAGGTAAAGGCCCCTCTGTCAGGTTCCATGTCAATTGGTGGAAGAAGGAAAACCTAGCACGTTGGCAAGCGGGCTTGTTCCACCATTTGGTCAAGGTCCTTCACTCACACCGCAAGCGTACATAAATAGTTTGCTTCTTCCGATCGGTGAATGGGAGTGACTCCGGTGTTTCCTCCATCGCTAAGAGATTCCATCAAAGCCCCAAATTGGATGAACAGGACCTCGCACATCACTTCAACAGAACCCCCTACCAAACAAAGTGGAATTTTCTTGAGACTCAACCCAACCAACCATTTTTTCAGAATCAACCGACTAAAAGGGGTGTTCCTTGCTTTCCGTGACGAAATGAGTTTCTCTCAATTGGTTGTTGAATGGACAAGGGGACCAATTCGTCGGTGCGAATCCTGCATGGGCACCGACGCGGCAAACGTTGCAAGTAGGGAAGCACGGGACCACTGCAGTTTATCGCATACCATGGTTTTGTGGTTGGACGCGGTGGGTTCACCGTCCATTCTCTCCAAGGATCCTTTTCTTCAGAAACTGGGTCAATTGTTTGAAAAGCGGGTAAAATCCGAAGAGAACGGGTGAGAATGGGGAATCGCGTGCTTTTGTTGAGGGGAACCTTGAAGGGTTCTGTTCATTTTCACTAGGGGGCTGCAAAATTGCGAGGCTTTTTTGCCAGCCCACACCAAAGATTAAGCATATATCTATAGACCATTCTGGGTTTTGCTTTGAGACCAAGCCACCAGACTCCGCAGGTCTTGCGCCTGCAGGGCGCTGAGCTGGGCCTCGTCTTGGCCCTACGCGGCGGCCTCGGCGGCGTAGGCGACGTCGGCGACGCCGCGGATCTGCGGCCCAAGCGGCTGAAGGCGCCACGCCCGACGTCGCGCGCGCGTGCGCGCGTGAAGCCAAGAAGCCGCGGGTGGGTCCCGGATTTATGGATAGCCGCGCTGCATCGGATGGGCAGATTGGACACTTTGGAGGTCAAGACTGAATTTGGACCAGACTCAATCATGTGAGAGGCTGAAGGCAGAAGCTGAGGTAGATTGAATCATGCAGGTTTGTCTTCAAATGCGAGGGGGATGCTTGAGCATAGAGTGGTAGTTGGTTGCCCAAAACGGGTGTATCCTGTTTTCAAGCCACCTTGATCAGTTGAGCTTTTCCATTTGGCGAGCCATATTTTCCTCAATTTGTCCACGTTCCCAAGGAGACCTAGGCAGAGCGCACAATTTGGGAGGCATCAAACAAACAAGGACTGGTCACTTGTAGCTATTACACCTTGTATTGTGATTTTTCCCACATTCCAAACAAGTTAGGCTTTCGTTCCGAAAGGGGGTTGTAACTTAACGACTCAAAGGGACCAACCCCCTTGTCAGACTGCTTGTTGGGGGAAGGTGGTCGTTTTTGAACGCGTGTTTCGGCTCGTTTTTGAACGCGTGTTTTGGCTCGTTTTTGAACGCGGTTTTGCTCAAGTGTATGTGATTTACAGCAGCACGGCCGTTTTCCAAGTGTCCATGCACACCACGATGAGGCGCACGAACACGCACCACGATGCACGTGTAGCACATGGATGGCGCCGTGCTTTTGGGAGACAATCGTCAACTGTAGACCCGGGAACACAAAGCACAAGGAACGCAAAGCGACATCATCATCATCATCATCATCATCGTCAACATCGCCATCATCATCATCATCGTCGTCAACATCATCATCATCATCGTCACCATCATCATTACCATCATCATCAACATCGTCATCATCACTACCAACAACATCACCATCATCAACATCAACACCAACATCATCATCACCATCATCAACATCACCACCAACATCTATATCATCATCATCATCAACAACACCGTCAACATCACCATCATCATCATCACCATCATCATCACCATTATCATCATCATCATCAACATCACCATCGTCAAAATTTTCATCCACATCGTCAACATGAACATCATCACCATCATCATCATCATAAACAACATCATCACCATTATCAACATCAACGTCGACATCACCATCATCATCGACATCATCAAAGTCATCGCCATCGACATCCTCATCGGCAACATCAATATCATCATCATTAACATCATCACCATCATCATCAACATCATCACCGTCACCATCATCATCATCATCAACATCATCATCATCATCAACATGGTCAGCGTAATCATCATCATCATCATCATCACCATCATCATGACCATCATCATCATCAACATCGTCATCATCGCTACCAACAACAACGCCGTCACCACCAGCGCGCAGTCGCACGGTCACGCAGTAAGAGGCGAACGTAACTGCCCCACCCCATCCCCCCCCCCCTCAGGACGCAGTCGCACGGTCACGCAGCAAGAAGCGAACGTAACTGCCCCACCCCACCCCCCCCCCCCCCAGCCCCAATACGCCGTTGCGCCGCCACGCAGTAAGCGGCGATCGCAATTCCAGGAGGCTCCGATTCGCAAGTTACTTAGGCCGTATGAGCTAAGGAGGTTTTTTGTGTCGCGAGGACAAGATAACTCAGAGCTTGAAATTTCACGAGTTTTCACGGCTTTTTCACGGAGTAGTAGCGGCCTTTCAGTTTCCCGCGCGAGTTATTACGGCCGTTAGACCGTGCTTTCACGGCTTTACGGGGGCCAACGGGCGCAAGTCGCCGAGGACATCTTAGCTCAAAAAGCCAAGGTAACTTGGGACTCGGAGCCTCCTGGTTGCCCCCTTCCCCCAGGGCGCAGTTGCACGGGCACGCAGTAAGAGGCGAACGCAACTGCCCCACCCCACCCCCCCCCCACCCCACGGGTGCCGCAGGATAGCCCCCCCATGTGTTCGAAAATGACCCACTCTGTGTTCGAAAATGATCCAGGACATCGGTGTTCGAAAATGATCCAAAATCGGTGTTCGAAAATGATCCCCCTCCCCTTGTCAGACTGCTTTTCAAGTGCTCCAACTGATTCTTTCCGGGCACCGAACTAAACAGTCCTGCTAATCGGGAAGTGAACATGTTTGTTTCCTACCTGCAGTTGCCACTTCTTTGCACAACCTTGTCACCGGGCTAGGTGCGACACGACCCATAGTTGAACCAAACGGAAACCAACAGCTCTAGGACTTCGCAGGTGGTTTTCCAGAGCCTACTTGGCACCTGGGTCTGTCTTGAGCCAATTCCTTGGGACCCCTCGCCGCTTTGCGAAGTCGACTCGATGGCAGGCCACCGGGGCGCAGCTGGGAGCCCTGCAGGCGCTGGGAGAGGCGAGGGCCAAGTTGGGGCAGCAGCTGCTGGCGATCCTGGCGCCGCGATTCTAATTTCACGTCGGATGGGAATGGACGCAGAACGTCTGGTGGGTTTCTGGTAATTCTTAGGGAGTGCTCCCGGCTCTTTGTGGGTTCTTGGGGAGGAAAAAGACTTTGTGGGAGGACCAGCGTAGTGACAAATTCCGGCCAATCCACTCAGGAAGTGCTGGGCTTGATCCGATCCTGGAAAGCCCCCTGCACCCCTCGTCAAGCGCTCCTGTCCCCTTCAAACAGCAACCCACCGAAAGGACGCTCGTTGCTCCACTTCTCCACCCCTTCGCTGCATGTTTAGCCCGGGGCCTCCCACCATGGGACGCCTCCGCCCCTCACCACCCCCCTTCGGGCCGGGCAAACTATCATGAGCTCACCTAAGATGAACAAAAGGTAGCTCACCCGCCTCACGTCCAGTTTCGGATGTTTTCTGAGTTGCCCAGATATCGGCCCAACCCTGTCTGATTTACAACCTTGCTTGCAAGCCAATTACATGATTTGAAGATCCAAGCTGCTTTTGGCTCGCCCAGGAAGAGGCACCGCAGAATCTGCCTTTGGCGCCTCTGGCGAATTTGTGGGCGCAGAACTTTGCGCCGCTGAGGCTGAGCCTTTTGGCCCATGGAAGGACTGATCGGGATGGTTCCCAGGCTTGATTGCGACGTAGGCTTCAGCCAAACTCTGGGCACCTTGAAAGGAGAGCCACCGGGTAGTTCACAGTTGGCCCAACCACGGCCTTTCCACATCGCGTTAAGAATTGATTTGGGATGCGCGGTGACCCCTCCAGCCCTTCCCTTAAGATAAGGGGATTGACCGTCTCAAACTTGATGGATTTCTTCTAAATCTGTTGTTTCTCTGTGCTTTTCATATCTTTTCATTCAAAGTTGCCAGGTTCTACTTGGTGTCCAGGGCTATGTAAAGACCTGTGTTCAGGTGTTTGATTTTCACCTTAGGCACAAATGGGGAGGGTTGGAACCCTGAAGGAATCGCAAGGAGTGGCTGGACGCGCAGGACCCGTTAGCCGCTTGGGCAGCCGGTGGACGCCAGCCAGATGCTCATTTCTTCCGCCCGTCGGCCTATTTCTGGGGAAATGTCTCGGAACACCCTAACTGGCCAAAAGGCGAGCTTTAGATCTTCGAAGCGGCTTGAAATGATCCATTTGTCAGGAGTCGGCCTACTTCGCCCACTTCGGCTCCTCACTGATCTCCCCGCGGCCGCTGCTACTCCGAGCCCTGCAGTTGCAACACCTCGAGGATCTCTTCAAGCTACGCGCGCGATACCTGCAGGACCGAAAGCCCCTCGGGGACGGCCCCCTCTACATGGGTATGGGTCACAATTAAACCACCAGGGGACCGCAGGTTTTAGTCGTTGGTTCCATTTGCCAGGGTTAAATGGGTGTGGCTCAAAAATGGGGGTCCAAAGTGGAACGGCAAATGGACAGGTAGACTAAAACCCGGCGCAACCCCAGTTGCTTAATTTTGAGCCACACCCAAATGGCTGCATGGATTCCCCGCTTCAGATGGGAAAAAAAGCAAGTTGGACGGCGAAACCATATGGGGTCGACTCCTGTTCAATGTTATCTCCGGCGTTTATGTGCGTTCTTTTAATAATGCTTGAAGGTGTTTACTTACTTCAATGGTCTACCGGTCTAATTTTCTACAAGTTATACGTCGTACCCACGGTGAAATTCGTCATGTAGCCGCAGTTGTCATATTTGCAATCATGGGTCAGACTGCTTACTAAGTGGGTTGAACGTCCAAAAGCTCAAACCCAGCAGCATCGAAGGAGGTAGTTTCTAGTCCACGGGCTCGCTCCAGAAGAGCCCAAGGGAGAGTCATACGGACCAACATGTAAAGTACAGAATGTACATGTTCAATGGAACCCTGCTAATAAAGATGAGACACCAACCTACTGAAATTGTAGAGGAGTCGCCTTTGCGGCATGAATGTTGAACTATTGATATTTGTTTTTGATAAACTTACGGGGTGCTGTCGATATATGCCTTCTTTTGCAACCACATGGTGCACAAAAACCCAGAGTGTTCCCAAACCGGGCTTTTGGCTTCATAATATGCCCATGGTTGCAATCGAGAAGGCCAAGTCAAGTTGGATGCAGAAATCGCGGACATGGGCCCGTCTCAAACCTACCTTTGCACTCGCCTGACAAAAAAAAGAAGAAAGGGCAACGCCCGTGCTGTCGGATGTACTTGCTGATCTTCGCAGGCAGGAGATGTCAGCGGCTGATGGTTATGGCTTGTTCTTTGAAAGCTTGCTACCTTTTTCACCGTGGCTTAAATTCCTGGAGGCGTTTCACAAGGAACGAAGCTCTGGAACTTGACATGTTCAATGGCATCTTTTCCGGAGTTCACACCTTCAGGAGCCAGTATTTCACCCAGAGCTGGGATGCTACCTGCGGCCATCTTGTCAGCAATTCTACGACCAAGTCCTTGCCCCAGTCACGGTTGGGGTCTTCGCGGATCTCTACCCACCTCACCGCGCGGAGGTCTATGTGAGCCACTGCTTGTGCCAGGCCTATGAGGACTGCAGGATCCATCACCAGCCTTGCTTTACCGGCTTGGCTTGTTTCCTTGGGCTTTCTATTTTTTTTGCGCCTATTTTTCCCATCAATCAGCCTTGTGGGAGGTTAGATCCACCTTGGACCGCCTTGGAAAATCCCAGGCCTCTTGTAGTGTGTCTTTTAGTCCATTTTAAAAAGGGGCTTCCCGGTACAACCGCCAAACAAATGGCCACCAGTCTGGTGTGCCAACCACACACCGACTTATCATTTGTCGTGTGTGTGAGGGCTTTGCACAGCCACTGCTGGAATTTGGAGACGGGGCTGACCTCGTGCGTGGTTCATTTTCACTGTCGGGGAGACTGGCGAAAAGTGATTGGGGCGGGGGGGGAGGGGGGCAATTTCCTCCTCCTGAAAAGTAGGGGAGAGCCTTGTTCGATGATTTGGTGGCTAACTTTAGCCTAGCGGATAATGATTGTGCACTTGAACTGTCGGTGAGCTTTGCCTTTTGTTGCTGTGGACCACTTGAGAAGCGTCCAAAATGGCTGTTGCTCATTTTTGCAGCTTCACCGGCTTCACCGCCTTGTTTTACCAGGGTTTATTGCAAGGCCTATGTGAGCCTGTACAACCATTTTAGTCATTCAAGCAGACTTTTCCTCTGCAAAGTGGTCAGAAGCTCCAAACATTTCCGCGCTGAGGGTGGGGCAGCGTAGGACTTTGGTTCGTTGGCTAGTTGAGTGTTTCTCACTTGAACGACATGTTTCTTGCTGGCCCTTTGGGGAGGGTTCCACCACTTGGATGCTCAACCCAAATATCTTAAGTAATAACTTAAATGGGCGTGGGATTGGCGGAGGCAATTCACCACAAAACAAATGCGTTGACCGTCCGAGCAGAGGCAAAGGCGGCAGAATTGGTTCAAAACCTGCTTCAAACAATTCGCTTCACCATGACAAAGCAGGTAGTCTCAGGGACCTTAGACAACTGGACCAAACAGTTTGAATGAACCTTAGAGAATTGGAACTTAGACAACTGGACCTTAGACAACTGGACCTTTTACAGGATCTCCACCTCGCCTTGACGCGGCACGGCGCGAGCCGTTGCGACCGCGACGTGGCGTACTGGCTGCGCCTCTTCGCGGCGGATGGCGACGCGGACGCGGTGGGCGCGGTGGGCGCGGTGCCGCGGTTTCTGGTGGCTTGGGATCCCGGAGGCCTGGTGAGGTGACGTTTGGTGGGGATGGCCCGCGGTTTTGTCCATCTTGGCCCGAAAGGCCATGGGTTGTGGAGTTGCTCACGCGGGTTTTTGTTTGGCAAGGGGGGGGGCACCTTTTGTCTTTTTTAGAGTGGAAGGGGAAGGGGAGATACTGAAGCAGACATTGGGACTCTCTGGTCGGTTCCGTGCTAGTGGACGGGAGGGCAATGAATACGGAATACGTGCAGCCCGATTGGGAAGACACCGAGAGGAGTCACCATCGCCTGATGCCGGATGCCTGCCTGTCCGTCTACCTGTCTGTCTGTCTGTCTGTCTGTCTGTCTGTCTGTCTGTCTGTCTGTCTGTCTGTCTGTGTCTGTCTGTCTGTCTGTCTGTCTGTCTGTCGGTCGGTCGGTCTGTCTGTCTGTCTGTCTGTCTGTCTGTCTGTCTGTCTGTCTGTCTGTCTGTCTGTCTGTCTGTCTATATTTCGGCCTGTGTGTGAGTGTGTGATGTGGGTGTAGGTCAAAAGTAGGTACCCAAAATGGAACCTGGAAAATGGAACCAAGGACTAAAACCTGCGGTTTTCTGGGCGGTTTCATTTTGACCCATACCCATGTGTGGTTTGGGTGAGGCAACTCCGACTGTGCCCTTCAAACGAGGCAACTTTGAGGTCACTGGCCGCAGGCATGTGGCCCACCCGCGCCCACTGCCTCTCTGAGCTGTCGGCCCACGACTTCCGGAAGCCCACTGAGGTGGTGTCCACAGAGGCTCCTCCCGTTGGGGTGCTCGAGGAACCCGAGCCCCCAAAAAGGCAGTTGTCACTGGTTTCTGTTTGGGGGGCCCTGGACAAAAATAGGCCTAGCTATGGAAGGGGCGGGATGGGGGAGTGCGGGGTGGGTGGGTGACGTAGCACCTTAGCCGCCACTGCTTTTGACAAAGAAGTTCGACAATTTCACAAAAGTAGTACATGTTGAGGGCGAGTGGAGCCACTGGATCCATGGCCAAAAACCATGAAGTAAGCTATCGTCAATATTGCTTTGATTGACAAAGACCAACCTGCACCTGACAAGAGTGTTGCTTGCACAGGTTTGGTACTCCAGTGTTCCATATTTGGTTTGACAGACGTATATTTCAACTGCCTGACATGAAGATACAGTTCTTGTCATGCATCAATGAGCAGAAAGGTGTCAACACGGAATTCGGTTTTCCTTTTGATGTTTGTTTCAACCTGAGAATGGAACCAGCACCAAGCCAGCCTGGAAGCAATGCCAAAACTGCAAAACTGCAAAACGCCCCCGGCAGTCGCTGCAGGGCCCTTTGGGCGGCGTGTTGGCTGGGGCCTCGCGCGCTGCCGCGTGGCGCCTGTGGGCCGCCGCGGGTGGAAAGGCGGCAGGGCCCGCAGGTGCCCTGAGGCGGGAGTTCTGGGGGCCTCATGTTTCCCGTTTCAGCTGGTTTAAGCATCACCTTCTGACAATGCCAGGCTTAGATGGCTTGGTGGGGTTGAGAGATACTTTCCGGAGCGTCAAAGTGGTTGCATAGTGTGGGGCTTGAAGGGGAAGGCCCAGAAGCTCCTTTTTTTCCCCTGCTCAGGGGCGGATAAAACCAAGGTGGGCAACAAAACATTTGGAGAGGGGTCTCAAGTTGTTGGTTGGTTGGTAGTTGGTGATTGGTTTGTGGCTGTGGGTTGTTGTTGGTTGGTTGTTGCTTCTTCTTTTTTTGATTCGGAGGCGCTTGGCCGGGCGGTTGCTGGTGCTGGGCGACACCCAAGGGCCGCGGCTTGTGAAGGAGGCGGCAGGGTGGGGGATGGGGTCGGAGGTGGGGTAGGTGGGGTAAGGAAGGCGGGGAGGCAGGTAGTATGGTGGACACTCGGGCAAACTGTTTGTGATGCAATCTTCTTAAGGGTTTCGGATTCTAGGACTCGGTGGGCCGTACCCATCCAATGCCAAACAATCCCTTCTCAAGTGGGTGTGCATTGTTTGACAGTACCCTCAGCTTGGTTTAAAGGGAAACCGAAGGCACAATCACCATGTTCGGGTCCTGGGTCCATGTCCATGTTGTCACCACAAACATTCAGCCTGGCTTGACAACGCACGCCTCTTGGAAGGCGACATGCACTCGGCATGCATCCAGAGGTTCGGACACATGTGTAGCCGAGCCCCAATGCCACCTGACCATGCTGACATCACGGTCAGCGCGAAACTCCTTACACAAGTTTCAGCTGATTCTGTACCTGGGAATCCTGCAATTAGAGTCCTTGAAGTTTGGGAAATGTGGAGTGTTGCTTCGCCGGTAGTGGGCTTTAGAAACTTGCTGGGAAGATAATTTTAGTGGCAAACAAGACATCTGGACTTTTTCTGGAAGTATTTTCAAAACAACTCCAGTAATGCTAGCAGGCATGCTTCCGTGTTGTTGTTTGAGAACACGGAATCATCTCTTGGTCCTGCCTCTTCCTGGGTTCTCAAAGTTTCTTGTGGGTCTCGGTAGTTTCCCTTTGAGCCCTTTGAAGATGGTAATTTTCACCCTCCCTTTCCCGGGGCTGGACATGTAACCATGGCTTTCATCTACTTAGTCTACTTGCTTGACTAGGGGCTCACTAACATGGACCCTGTCCTCCCTTTCCCCGGACCAGGGTAACCATGTGACCCTGCGGTCAACCAGGGGGTCGCCTCTGTTCCCTTTTCGCCAGGCCTCGCCTTCGTGCGCCCTGCTGGGCGACTCCTCGGAGCTCCAATTCCGGTCCCGTTGCGAAGTGCTGCGCGAGTGCTTTATGCCCGGCGTGCTGGTGATCCAAGCAAGGCCCCTTCTTTTCAGCATTCCTAAGCGGACTGTCCCTGCCAAGAATCGGGCACGCCAACAACTGTTAAACAGAGTGTCTTTCATCACAGGGTTGCAAAGGCTGCTTGATTGGGCGTACCTACAAATTGGTCATGCCTTGTCAAGGCATTGTCTTGTTTGTCCGGAGGTTTAATGGCTGGACCAACGCCTGCCACACTAGCGCTGTTCAGCTGTGACGGATTCTCAGGGTTTCCCTTTCAACCAACCCCAAAAAGGGGCACCCTCACAAGGGCACCTCCAAAAAGGGCTGTGACTCAAAAGCATGTGCCCAATTTTTACCTTGATAAATGGAACCAAAGACTAAAAGCTGCGTAACCCTAGCTCGGAATTATTTGAGCCACACCCATTTGAGACACCTGAGCAGACAACTGGTGCATGAGGGGTCAACAAAATGCTCAGATTGCAACCAACGGAGTTGGATCAAAGTGTGTCCCAATTTGTGCAAAGGTGGATTTTAGCGGAATTTACTTGTAGCGAGTTGGTGATTGGAACCCCTATTCGGCACATGCTTCTTTCATTGGAAACGAAGGGGCTTTAGCAGATGACTTGGCTTGGTAATGTCCCATTCTTGGCATTTGTTTGGGTATGTTTGGGTTTTGGGTGATCTGTTGGACAGAAGGCTCCCAAGAGAGTTTGGCAGAGTTTGCTCTTTCGCCTGTCGCTATTTCACATGTTCAAAGGCACCAAAGGAGCTTGAACTCGGGTATTTCTGAAAATTGCGGAATTTCCTTTGGCTGGCAAGCCCAAGGGAAACCAGCTGTAGGCACATCCCATGAGCCAAACCCGCCATGGGCCACTTTGGTGGTTTGGTGATGTTTCCCAAAGGAGTTTGGCTGGAACTTTTCGTTTATTTCTGATCAACCAGGTTCTCGACCAAAGGCCCGGAAAAAGTCCATTTTTGGGCCCGAACCCCTGGGACACACGCCCTCCATGGCTGAAAATCTGGCGGAGCCCAACTTGTGGTTGGCGCCATGGGGAATCCCAGGGGCACCCGCCGTGGGCCACTTGGTCCATTTGAGCCCAGCCGCAGGCCAGGCCATGGCAGGAACCTCTTGGCGCGGCAGCTCCTGAGCTTCGCAGAGGCTTGGCCAGGGCTGGGGGTTGGTGGGGGTGGGTGGGTTTCCAGCTCGCAGGGGATGAAAGGAGCGTTGGAGCCAAAAGGTTGGTCAAGAAAAATGAAACCCATTTTTATTCTGGAAAGAGTATTGGATTGAATTAGGTAGGGCTCCAACTCTTAGACTCTTCTTGTTGAAGAATGCCGAATTTGGTTGCAGATTTTCACGTGGAACTCAGTTTGGAGGAAACTCCTCAAATAGGGGAGCAGTTTTGGGTTCCATGTCAATGTACAGGGGGGGCAAGGCCAGGTTTGGGGTTGGCTTCCTTTGCCTTTGCCAGTCGATTGCTTCAATCCGTCAGGTCACCGCGTTTAGATGGGACCAGTCTGGCCGTCAGAATGTAAGCCTTGAGATAATGGAGGGCTGTTTTTGCTTCCTTGATACCTTGCTTCGGGTTAGGTTGGGGCATTATTGTGTTGCCTATTTTGGGCGACACAGGTGGGCCTCCTCTTTCCCGCGCTCCGAGAAGTCATGCGTTGCCTGGCATCCCAAGGAAGCTCCGCATACCTGGCGGGGAGGCCCTACAACATATACATCAGATGCAGAGTTCAGCGGGGCGTGCAATCCCCTTCCCCGAATGATTGCTGCACATCCCTCGGTTGCATAAACCACCTGGACCTGAGTTGTCGCGTCCTTGAAGGCTCAAACTCAAATAGATATCATGTCCTTTTCCCTTGCGGCGGACCTCTTACAGCATTTGAGTTCACGTTGCGTTCTTACATTTGTACCTTTTTAGCATAGCAATGATGATGGTCACGGTGTAAATCCAAGGTTTAGGGGTTGATCCTTTGTTGGAGGGGCTTTTCTTAACAGGAGACCTCCTTTTGTGGGGTTTCAAATCAATCATCAAACCAGGGTAGAAAATTGGTGCAACCTTTTCATGGTCCTTTTCCATTGTGTTGGGCCAAACTTTCTGGTTCTCAGGGAATCCACTGCCTACTATTGAACTGGAATAGATCCGGAGAACCCGCGAGCCGGCCGAGTTCCGCAGCCAGGTCCCTGTGCCAATCAACTGCGCAGTGCTGGCGCAGCGCATGGCGGACCAGGAGGGATGCTCCAGACGTCCTTCTCGCACCGCCCGATAGCCCGATAGCCCGAAGGGAAGGAAGCAACGGTCAGTCCCACGAAAGAGGAAACTCCAGTTTGGGATATATATCGCCATGGGTTAAAATCCCGTCCCCCAGTGAACATCCCAATCCCCACCAAAATAGACCCCAAAATGGCACCATTGGTTTTGACCCACAGCCATATGTTAATTTGCAGGGGAGTATGAGGTCATCTTTGAGGCCAACTTCTCATCGGAAAGCGCGAGTCCTTGCCTCTCATGTTCATTGGCTGGGGGGGGGGGGCTAGCTTTCAGACCGTCAGTCGGGCATTTCCTTTCGCAACTTATTGGTTAATATTGGTTATGAAAGACAAATTGTTTTTTCCCCCATGGCCACTGGAGGTCTCCCTGGATTTCCCTCTGTGGCTACGTTTTCCTGGTCGGGAAGACTAGAATGCAATCGGGGTCCATTTCCACTTGAGGTATCTCCCATGCATCACCGCGAGGGAAACATGTTCAATCCATCTGGAGCCCCTTAACTGGCCGCACTTCAGTCTCATGCATCTTCTGCAAGTGAAGGCCAAAGCACACCCTGACGCCTTCAAAGTTCACCCTGTCCTCCTTCATTTCCTTTTGTAAAATGACCAGCCGCAACCAAATGCCCAGGTTTTGCCCCGAAAAGGCGTCTGATGGCGAGAGCTTCCCTTCCGAGCCAGGCGCTGAGCTCCAAAGACGACTTGCTGGGCGCTTGGCTCACCGAGATGGGCGAGACCTTGCCCCCGCAGGCGCCGGATTCGTCAGAGTCGGCATAGGCTGAACTCGCCATGGGGCCCTTGTGCTCAAGGCTGTGCTAAGCCTTGCAGGTGCCAGAGTTGGCGCTCCTGTGAAGCCCTCAAAGTATTAGCTTTTTGGAGAAAGGCAAAGTATCAGTAAGTAGGTTACAACTTTGCTTCTAAGTCAGCCACCCCTCTTCTCTTACTTAGATTCTTGGTCATAGCCAAAATCCTAAGTAGCCGGATGAAATCCAAGAGGAGAACAGTGTTGCGCTGTTGTTTTTGCGGTTCTTGTTTTTGCCCAAGGGGGGCTTGGTCCCTTTGTTTCCCTTTAGGGGGTTGAGGCATAAACTTGCAGTCACCAAGGTGAAGTGAGTTCTCCTTGACAGGGGTGATGTTGAAGGCTGGGTGCCAAACAATCCAACACTTGGGGAGGAACTCATCCTATGGGGGGCGTGAAGTAAAACGGTAGCGAACCTTGACAAGGAAGATACTATTCTTGAAAGTAGTTCCTCCCACGCTTCTTCATGGCTATAACCTACTAGTACGTACTACAGGTTGCTTCGAACCTCTGACCGATGGCGAAACCACAAGGGTCGAACAGTTGTATTGGGTCCAATTTGTTGTTCCAGGGACAAGCTTTGGGTCGAATGGGATAAACCCATGGGTTGAACGTAGATCAGCTCTGGTTTCAACCAGCTGACCGAACCCTTCGGTCAGATTCCTTGAAGGTTCTTCCCAAGAAGTGTGTTTGTACTTACATTGCATAAATGATCCTTCTTGGGTGGTTAGGGGGCCTACTTCTTGTGGCAAGCCAAAGAAATGGGTTGGACATTTGCGCAGCTCTTTCGGCAGGCCCAGGTGGTGGTCTTCTTGGACTCGCTGGAGCGCGCGGGGCAGCAGGTGCCGCAGATCTGCGCCTGGGCCCGGCGCTTCGGATCGGCGGAGCCGGCGGATCCGGCGGAGGGCGGTCGCGGCCTGGTGGTGACGCTGCGGGAAGAGGACGGGGAGCTGAACGAGAGGCGTGGCAAAGCTTGCTGGTTCGAGAGGCAGGGGATGAGTTGGACAAATAGCTTGAACTTAACCATCCCCTGTGTTTCTTTTTCAATTAATCCTAGGTTCATTCCCACACTGGGTCATTCCCTGCTGAGCATCAGCAGGTTTCCCCTTTTTTGGGATCCTTGATTGTTTTGGGAAGACCGGTTTAAGTGGCAAACAGAAAGTTTGACATACGTAGTGTTTGCGTTTTTTTTTGTTTAATTGTGTGCTTCTTGCTATTTATTTACGGTAGGTTTGGGGCCAACTAAGAATGACAATCCCCAAAACGGCTTCCAATAGGCATCTAGGGAGAGTCCCTTGTTTGCGGCTTGCCATGTTGCAATATTTTTTCCTTGGACCCGGAGAGAAGGGGCTAGGTCATGCTAGGTGGTTGATCCCGAAAAGGGGGTAGGAGGTTTGGACATTGAGGCGGGAGGGGGGGGGTTCCCTAGATCCACGCTAAACCAACACCCCAACCCTAGACCAACGCTAAGCCCTAGGCTAAACCTGCCCAAGCCACCATCGCTAAGCCCACCCTAAACCCATTCCGAACCAGCCCTAAACCGAGCCGAAACCCACCCTAAACAAACCCAAAACCAACCTGAAGCACACCCTGAGCGGTCAAATTTGTACATCCCCGCATGCTTAAGAATAGAATTTGGGGAGGGGGATAACCTTTGGAGGTGTCATTTATATGGTTGCATTATCCCGTGACAACATTGCGGATTTTTTTTACCTCAAAGTAGGGAGTCGTTGCAACCAAGTCGATGCTTGTGTGTCCAATCGAGCGTTCATGATTTGCACCTGTGCTGCTTGAATCAAACCTTGGTAGTAAACAGGTCGCAACCCTTGTCATAGCCGGGGCAACCTTTGTCATAGCCGGGGCAACCTCAAGGCTTGGTGGACATACGCCACTATGGATGATGACCTACTTACTCGTACCAAAGAGTTGAGCGTCCAATACTTTGAATCTGGACTGCGCACCGGGAGGGGGCAACAGGGCAAGGCTTTGAGCATGTCGTGCAGCAAAAGCCTTTGGAATTTTAATTGCTTCAAATGAGCAACGACTACCTGGGGCAAGTCGCCTTTTTGTTTGAGAGTTCTTAGCGCAACTGTGGATGAACCGTCGAGCGTCGTGGCACGAAGCAACTGCGTTTGGTGATCTGGCAAAGGGAGAAATGACGTTACCCGAGGTGGGAAAAGTCATAGGCTGGAGTGCTCATGTTCAGATCTGATAAGATGTCAAGATTCGTTGTCCGTGATTTTACGTTTCAATGGCTTAGTCTCCGAGAATCAGAATCGGATGCATGGCCGGACCTTTTGCATTTCTACTGGAGACCGATTCCTGAGGAGCGCGCGGGCGAGCATGAGGACGCGGGCAGGGAACTCCAAGTGTCGCAAGGTTGGCTGGGCATTTCAATCTCAAGCCTGCTTTTGGATGCTCAGTGCGTGGGAAGTAGGTCGTAATTAACCAGGGTCATGATTTTGAAAGCACGGGTGGTGGACATTGCACCACGCGCATAACCTACCTCAGTAGATGCTGAGTGTCTTGAACTTCTATCTAAGTTGCTCAGTGGATTCCAGGCCTCTCCATGTTCCTTTGTTTGGTGGGTTTGTTTTGATTGAATCGAAAGCTCCCCGCTGCGCTTGACAGCACCTGTCTTCCGGCCGGCTGCCCTGGAGAGAATGTAAATAGTACACTCGTTCTCAGATTCGGCCACCTCGGCGCGATAAATGGGAACCTGTGCCATTTGCAAGCAAATTGTCGCAAGTGTTTTGCAAAGGCACCGTATTCTTGCCATTCAATGGGCGGTGGACAGCTTTCAAGCGGGGACTGGCCTCGTTTCTCCCCATCAAGTTGTGACATCCAGGGTGGTAAAGCAGCGCAAGGATTGTGCTGCCTGTTTGGCCAGCTCACCTGGAGGCAAAAACAGCCTACGCACAATGAAGGATCTTTACTTGGGCTTCTAGTGCTCATTTGTGGTTTTGAACTTATTGTACACTTTGCAGATTGTTTTGAGCTTGATATGGTTTCTCGATTTTTGGGAGGTGCCCGGTTCCCCCGCACAGCAAATAGACCGTTGATGATGTCAATGGCTGAACGGCTGAATGAGCCGTGCCTGAATGCTGTGTGCTGTTCCAGGCTCTTCTTTGAAGGAGAAACCAAAGGCAAGCCCGCTGGTTTTCTAGATTCAAACTGGAATTTGCTTGCCTGTTGTCTTTCTTTTTTTTGCCCTGTTGCGTTTCCTCCCGTTTGCCTCAGCAAAACGTTCACCTGTTGCAGATCTGTTGGACAAGTTTTGGGGCCCCGTTTGCCTGGAGGACCATCTTCTGAGCTCAGATTTCACGGACCTGTCCTGGTCCAAACGAGCTTGGGAGGAGCTCAGCAAGTGCAGCAAGGCGCCCCACCCGCTTTGGTTGGGCGGTTACTTGGATGGCCACGCCCAAAACATACGCACGGACACGTGATGGCCCTGGTTCCTTTCTCTCGGCTTTCCCTTTGGGTAGTCTTTGGGTGCCCCTGTTTTGTCCTGCCCACTGGGGTCCGCGAGGTCTGAACTATGCGTAGCTGTATGTCCACTACCGCTTGCCCTCTGACCAAGTGGTGCCCCTTTGTCCGAATTCAATTGGCCAAATCAAGTAAGGGTCCAGTTTTTGTTGTGGTCACTGGTCTGCAAATGGTGCCCTTAAAATAGTCTTGTTTTCTTCCGGTCCCAGAAACAAATGATATTTGCACCTTGGCCCGCGGGCGGGCCAACCTCACATCCTGATCTTCGACGTAAGGCATGGGTGTGTGTTTTTGGGAGGGTGCCTTTTTTCGGGGTGGCGCTGAAAGGAAGCTAGAAGGAACACCATTTGTTTGGGGCCAAATTTGGATAGAACGGTCCGGCAAGTGACCGACCGGACCAATAAATCATGCATCAAAGGCAACCCATTGAGTATATCCACCAATGTTTCAGACATATTGACGTGGTTGGGTGAGGCTTGGTGGCCACTGTTTTGCTGGCTTGCTCGAAATCAATCTTTGCGCCTTGTGCCTTGTGCCAGGTCATGTCACGGCTTTCCTTGTCTTAGTGATCTCCGACCGCACAAGGGCCAAGTTACAGGGCTTGTGTGGCCTGTAAAAGGGCCCAAGTTTTGAAGCCACTTTTTCCCACCTGTTGAGTGCCACTTTTTCAACCAAGGTACAAAAGTGCCGGATCACGTCCAGTGGAGCTCGCCTTCTCTTGGACACTTCCAGCCGCGTGTTTGAGAAGGGAAGGGAGCGAGGGAAATCGGGACCCTTTCTGGCTTTGTGTGGTTTCCCCTGATGCAACATCCAAAAGACGCCCCCAAATTTTGAGACAAACTGTTGCGAATAGGTGAGCCAGAAGGTGATCAATTGGATTTGGCAACAAAGACACCCACACCTCAACAAGCAACCCCTTTATTCCGTGATTGTCCTGAAAGAGGAGTGGTATATGTTTTTTCCTTGTCAAGGATGTCTATGTCATTGATCCTTCTGTTAAGGTAAAGTCCAGGCAAACCGTTCCTGGGACCTTAGACTCTTTGAGCAGCGCTTTCATTTCCTCTTCCTTAGGCATTGCCCCTGCCGAGCACCTGGCTCTGGGGCGGCCGCTCACAGCAACACTGGCTGCTGGACAGGCAGATCGGTTGCTCCCCAAGCCAGTGCCAGCAAGAACATTTCCCACCATTCTCCCCGTGGAATATACAAGGGACGGAGGAGGGTTCTCAAATCTAGTCCCATGGAGGGTGAGGTGAAGCCGACGTTCCGTCCTCACATTCATGAGGCTGATTTGTTTTGAGGGTGTCACGTTGCTTGAGTGGCCATACAGGAACCACAAAGGCATGATTGCTGTGTTTGTGAGGGTAGCTTTTGCACCGTAGTTGAACGGGAAGCCAAAAGGTAACCAACCATTTTTGACGGCCCTAGCTTGACACATACCCGTATGCAGGTTTATACCGTATGAGGTTTGTCTCATTTCAAATAAGGGAACCGCCAAAATAAGTAATTTCCCTTGGGCGTCCCTTTTAGAGCCAAGCACAAAAAAAGTACCCAAAGAACACATCCCTATGACTCTTGTCCGGAGCCCCGAGCAGGTCTGCCAGGCAGATTGCGAAGCCATGCGCAAGGCCTTTGAGGAGCCCGGATCTGGATGAAAGCCTGGGTTGATTGAATTTGATCCATAATTGTTTTATACCTTTCGCAAACAAAACATATATACATATACACATACATGTATACATGTACATATACATATACATACACATATCTCTGCATACAGAAGTAACATATTTAATATCCACACATATAATCTACATACATATGTAAGTATGTGTTTTGGAGCAGGGTCTATCTAACTTATTTGACTAAGCTTGTTTTTCGGGGCCCCCAAACAAATCAAAATTCAACTGTTTAGATTATGTGAGCTATTTAAATTGTTCAAGGCCCGTCAAAATAGACAATTTATCTATTTTGAATATGTCAACCGTTTAAAACTTACTTAAACAGTTTGAGGGCCTCCAGAAAGTTCAAGATTTGAATGAATTTAATTATTTAAGTTACTTAGTTTATTAAAACTTTGATTTTTGGAGCGGGGCTCCTTGAAGGATGCCAGCTGTGGCCAGTTAACCAATCTCTTTTTCCAGCTGGTTCGGAGGATACCCTGGTACATCAGGTGTCTTTTGGATGCATGCCAACTTCCCAACTTCCCTGCAGATATACATAGAATTGATGTATATTGCTTCTGTTAGACCACTCAGTCCTTGCCATTAGCGAAATCCCGAGCAGACTTCCCTTTCCAGAATAGCTGCGGTTGTGCGATTTGTCCAACTTAGTTTTACGGGCCTGAGTGGGCATCCCCATGATTATGGATCATCACCCTGTATTTTTGACACCTATCCATACGGTAATGGAAGGGGCGTCAGGCTGCAGAAGCCTTGGCGAGACAAGGGTGGGCGGCTTGAATATCGCCCTAGGTGCATTGCTCAGTGCAAAATAATCCTAAGATCATGGCAGCCCACACTCCCTGCTTCTTTTCTTGCTGGTGCTCAGCAGGGAATGAGGGAATGACCCTTTAAGGGAATCCCCTAAAATCCTGTTCATTCCCACCCGGAACGGGTCATTCATGCCCTACTGCCTCCTTTCCCACGGGTCGAGACCTTCGCAGGACCTCAAAAACGCAGCGGAGCTGCAGGGCTTGGCCTTGGAGATGTTCCTCGGCTGGGCGAAATCCGCGCGAAATCCGTGCAGGTGCTGCACTTCCCAAATCCGATGCTTGGAGTTCCGGTGGTGGAAATATATGGCAAACTTCCTACCTTTGGGAATTTAGAGCAAACAATTCGCCACTTTTGGACTTGCGGCAAAACTTGGAGATACGTGGTGAGTTGTTTGGTTGGTTTGGGGGTGGAAACGTGCAGGGTTCCGAGGGGGCCAAGCTGTTTGACATGTTTAGCCAGTCACCTCAGCAGGTGTGAAGGGTGTCCAACATGTTGGGTTGACGGGGGGGGTTTGCCCGGACTTTCATGCTGCCCCGGGCATGCCTACCCGCAGCGTGTTCGCGGCTGTCGAGGGGGGAGAGGGAACGGGGGGGATGGAAAGAACACGGGTCCATGTTTCCAGCATGTCGAGGCCAACCTGTGTTTCAAACTAGTCGATCCCGACCCGCCAGCCCCACACGCCATGTGACTTCTCCGCTATCTGCGCGCTCTACGCGACTGCGCAGTCTCGTTTGCCTATCTGACACGCTGCCACTTTGCGGCAGTCCGTTTTAGACACCTGGTGTCTAAGAGGGCCTGGGGTCTTCTTGCGGTTGTTCCGAACGCTGGTCTTTGTCTCCGCTGCGCTCGTACCAAGCAGGAACGGAAGTTCTGCCAGCAAGTTATCAGCGCAACTTGTCTGCTTCGCATATACAAGAAGGCAGCCCGGCCTGGACAGCTGCAGGTCTCTCACTAAGCTAGTCAGGCCATAGTCTTGGAGCCTGCTTCGAGCAAATGAGAATGCTGCGCCTGCCAGCACTGCGTATTCGAATCTGAGATTCGAATACGCAAAGTTGGACATTTGCAGGCTTTCCTGTGATCCCACCGACGCCACGATTCACTGCTATTCGCATAGGATTTGCAAAATTCCCGACCCACGTCCAAGAGCGACCGTCGTTCGGTCCAGGCAAACCCCCCCGGCAACCCAACATGTTGGTTTTGGCTTGTTCTTTGGTTTGTTTCTGGTGTCCTTTCGTTCGGTTTTCGCAGGTTTCCTTCGATTTCCTTTGGCTTCCCTGTGCTTCGACCAGCAGAAGCAAAATTGCCCTTCACGCAAAAACTGCTACATGTACCCCTTTTTGAGGCCAAACATAGGGAAACCAAAGAAAGCCCGGCCAAATGTGTGTGGTGTGTCTATTTTGGGGATAGTACCCTTTCCATGGTTGTTTTCAAAGGAAACCACCGTCACATGTTGCCTGTTGCGCTTTTACGGGAGGCTTCCCCATTCAAATGTTCGCCCTTTCGGGGGCTTCAAAGTCATTTCATATTCAGTGGCTTCGCTTCTTCGAGACTGATTGCTAGTTGTTAATGAATTGTTAAACCACGCCCTCATACGCACGCCTTCTTTGGAGCTGATACCCTTTTGCATTGCCTGACAGGGCAATCAGCAAGAAACTTAGGCCCATGCTTAAGGCCCCCAAGTTGCAGGCAAAGCCATGTTGTCTTGTGATTTGTTTGCAACATTCGGGCAAGGACCCTTAGCTGTGAAGATGGAGGTGAGGGGGACCTGATTTGAGACATCTGTGTTGTCATTTTGTTCGAAAATGCTGAACTTGGGGAGGTACCATGAGGTACAGACGAGCCAAAGCCCCATGAAGGTGCATTACGTGGCAGTCTCTTCGTGAAGCAAGGCATGCTTCCAATGGTCACTTTTTTTGTTTTGTTTACATAGCTGCTGACATCAGGGTCTCCCTTTTTGTTGTGGCGCTTTGCAATTTGACGCCATGCGCCCGCAAATGTCGACATGTTTGTGGGCTCCCAAGCTTTTGGCCCTTCATGAAAGTACAGTCAGGCCAGAATAAGAACAAAGTCATCTCAGGTGTCTTAAACGAAACAAACATGTCCAGTGGTTTTCCAGTGTTGGTAACTGCTTGCTGCTTGCAGGCCAAAGCACCAGGCACGTTCATTCGGGTGACTCCCTTCTTGTGCTGGCACTGAAGGCTTTCACGCCAAGGTGCTACGCAGACCTGCACGTAGTGCCGAAGGCTGGAGAGATCCAACCAGCTGCAAATGGGTGAATGTAGATGGCAGGCAGCGTGCACCATTTTGATTTAGTCATCCCCTTTGTTTACCCGCGGAAAAGAAATTGCGCCAATTTGCTTTCGCCTTGGTGCAACCTTGCTGCACAATTTTATGCCGAGCGGTTCAACGCTGGTTCCACCGATTTGGCGGGAGGGGGGGGGGAGGGCAAACTTCAAAAACAAAAGCCAGAGCTGAGCAGCAAAACAAGTGCGCAGGTTGTCATATTGAGCTGTTTGCCCAAGTGTTTAGCCGCGGCTGTCCAAGGCATGCTACTTGCAAGCCCGCAAGGAACCTGTGCCTTTGCTTGCGGCTATCATTTGTTGGCTTCGCTATTTTAGAAGCCTTTCCGGCCACGCCTTTTCCCCACCAAGGTTTCAGGTGAACCTTCCGGGTAGGTCCCGTTCCAGGGCCAGTCGGGGATACTCCGGGTGAGGCTTCCTCACCTTCCGCCAGGGCCGGGTGAGGGGCCCTCACGCCGTTCTGCACCCCTTGGGCGAGTGGCGCCGCTTCAGCCACAGCTCGATGCGCAGCTTCCTGGCGGCCCAGGAGCTGCTCCGGAGGAGGGGTTGCGCGAGCGCAAGGGGAAGGTAGCCAGGCAGCCGCTGGCAACCTCTTCTTGGGCCCTTGAGGTCTCTTGAGGTAGTTTTGGGTGGGATTGGGTGTGGCTATCTCCCGTGGGGCTTTTCCTCTTTTCAACCGATTTGGAGGGAACCCACCTTCAAATCCCTTTCTCCCCATGGTCACTGGAGGTCTGGATGAACTTGGGAAGAATTGTGTGGAACCTGATGGGGGGGTCCTTGAAGGAAGGTGCTGACATGGGAGGTACACTTGAATTGTCCCCCATCATTGTTTGACGCAGGGAAGTGCGCGGACCCTTATGGAAGGACAGGGGCTCCATGCATTGAAGTGTTTTGATTCCTATTGGCTTCATGGAAGCGAGCAGAAAGAGTTCCGGAAGACTGCGGTCCTTTTGAAAAGGCCGGGTTTCCACTTCCATTGGTAATTAGTAAGTTGGTTATTATCTATGACCAGGGTTTTGAAACGGGGTGATAGGGGTTCCTTTCCCTTGTTCTCCAGCAGGTTGCGCCTTCTTGGTTCCTAATCTTGGGTGGTTCCCCCTTTATATAACATTGTGGGTACGGGTCCCTGCGGTGTTTCCGGCTGCCAGGAGGGACCTGCCCCCACAGGTGCTCAGCCGCCAGTGGCCACAGGTCAGGCGCTTCCTAGAGCGAGCCCTGGAGGACGGCCGCGGAGTGGTTGGAAGGCTTCACTTGAGGTCTCCCGGATGCTCCCGGTACTTGTTTCGGCCTTTCAGTTGTTTTTTTAAGCATCCCTTGCACTTCCGCGCACTATATTCCCTTTTTGCAGCTTCAAATCCAGGCCTGTCGTGCGCTACATCCGCAGCAGGTTTGAGCCCTCTTTTGGTGGCGTCGGATATATCTTGTTGGGCGTTGCTTTAGTGACTATCGTGTGATGGGCCGCTCAGGAAGGAAGAAAGGAGGAAGCTTGCTTGATCTGAGATGCCAAAACGGCTCACGCTCGAATAGGTGTCAAATCACATTTGTGGGTGCGCATGTCCTGTTTGTTTTGCCAAGAGGGCTCAAGTGCAACTATGATATCTTAGGCAGTGGTTTTCTGAATGGTCACAGTGCCGGAATTGAGGGAGCTTCGGCGGATGGGCTTTCCCTTGTGGGAGGTGTTGTGTGTCCACTAGTCACTTGCACGAGGGGTGGCAGGAGGACTTAGGTGTGTCACTGAGAACCACATGCCCAGAACTAGCGAAGCTTCTCCCAAATAACACTGGCATGTCGGACCTATTTTCTGAAGCATAAACTGGGCTGGTTCCTCACTTCGGGTGCTTGGCGATTTTGATCTGATATCGATTTTTGACTTGGCTGCTTGAAGCAGCCAAAACGGGGCGGCAGGATGAAGTGGTGAAGTCATGCGCCAGCGAGTTGGTTGATGTGGTGGTTCTACGGCAGCATGTGGAGATGCCTCTTGGCAAGTCGAGGGTTTGTGTGACCAGCCTGGCGGCTTACTGTTGGCCTCGGATCGGATGAATCAACCTGGCGGATTGCTATAGAAGAGGTCGTTTCCCTCATAAAGTCAAGGATTTCCTCTAAAACGGACATCCCCTACTCGTCAACCAGTTTTTTGTTGGTTTTACACAAATCCAAGGTCAAGACCCCAAAATTAGCTTTGGCGGTGGTGTGCTTTGAACCTCCATGTTGAGGCTAAGTTTGGGGATGGTGCTTTAGTGGATCCAGTTGCCGGACGGATGCCTTCCGATGCAGTCCCCGGGTAGGGTTTACACCTGACGGATAGATGGCATCACCACCAAGTAACGGAATTCCCTATCGCTTCAAGGCTTAGGAAATCCAGAACAGCTTATTCACTTCCTCTGTAGTTCCATCTTCAGTATCTTAAACGGGGACCCCCTGTTCAAATTGAGTTCTGCTTTCGTCTAGTTTTCCTCAAATCCCACCCCCTTCCCCCAAAAAAACAGAAATAACAAATAACAACACACACACGCACGGACGCACACGGACACACACGGACACACACGGACACACACGGACACACACGGACACACACACACACACAAACAGAGACGTGTTGACATTCAGGGCTCAGCTCCTCGGGGTGGACCTCCGACTTCTCCATTTGCTGCTGGATGCGGCGGGAGCGTCGGAACCCGCTAGGGAGCTGGCGGAGCTCGCGGCCAGCGCGCTGCAGGCTAGGACAGGGCTGCCGTCTTTGTTTGGGGTGGACCGTTTTTTTTTTTTTTTTTCCTCTCTCTTTTTTTTCCGGTTTTAAGGGACTCACTTCCAGAGTTCCTGGACTTTGAACTTTTTTGGAAGAGGTTTTTGGTGGCAGACAAAAAGTTTGGACTTTTCTTGGGACCATCCACTCGGGAAGTGAGGGGAATACAAAGGAAACCTGACCTTGTTTGTGGGTTCACCAAAAAAAGACACCCTCCACTTTGTCCCAGTTCATCGGTGGCATCAGTTCTGTTTCCCTTTCTGTTTTTGATGGTTGCCCCACTAAACGGGTCCTTTGGGTTCGGTTTCGATGCATGTGACATGTTAGCGGCTGCGAATGAAGCAGTATTTGTTCAGCCGGTAAGAACCTTGACGCTTATGTTCCAACTCTTGCTTTGCTGGCAGGATCATTGGTTTTGACCATGACTGTTCATGTTGAACAACCCGCAAGTTACCCCTGCAGGCGGCGCTGGTCCGAGTGCTGTCTTCGCAGGCAGGGTAAGAGCGAGAGGTGTGGCAACCCATGGGATATCGGGCTAGGTGCCTTCCTACAGGTGCTTCGTTTGCGGGAAGGGTGCAGCTTGTGCCTATTCCATGGCTGTCTTTTGCAGATGCGAATGACCTCCACCCAAGGCTCCCATGGAAGAGAGCACACGCATGTGCCTGGGTAAAGGAGGACATGTCGGGGTATTACTATTCACGAGGCTTAAGAGTCAACTTGTTTGTAGCGGTCGTAAGGGGAAACCAACAGGACACCCGAGCGAAGAGACAACACCCACGTACACATACATATGTATATATATATATATACACATACATATGTATATATGTATAAATACATACATACATACATACATACATACATACATACATACATACATGCATACATGCATACATACATACATACATACATACATACATACATACATACATACATACATACATATTTGATACACCATTTTTTGCATGTGCATTTGTTTATGATCTTGAAATTAAGTATTGCTTTGCGCGGCCCCAGGCGTCCAGCCCATTGGCCGAGCTCTTAGCGCTGGGCGGCCGCGCGCTGCGCCTCGAGCACCTCGACGGCTCTCGCGCGGAGCTGGAGGCGTCGCTGCGGAAGGCGCGCGCGGCGCTGCGCCTGGAGGCACGCCGGGAAGGCGTCGTTGGGGAAGGATTCACTTGGCTGCCAGCCATCCGGTTCCTTAACTTAGGCTTTTAGGCTTTTAGTTGGTAGCTGACCGTGGCGCTTTTTTGACATTCTTTTGAGGGACGGACCTTGCAAGAACACGGCTGATGTGTGTTTGCGCGCCCGTGCCAGCGTGAATCGGGTGTTGACAAACAACATTGCAAGTTTGTGTAGGAAGCAATCGCATCGTTCAGGAGCAAAAACAACACCGGAAGGCTAAACCACTTTTCACACAACTTAAGACAGTTTTTCCATCTTAGAATGTTAGCAGTGTTCTTTTGGCATTGACATGCCAGCTCTCCGCAATTGGCAGATGTACGAAACACCCAATGGCTTGTGAAGAGTGGCCACGCAAGAGGCCAAATCCGGTGTACTGCAGGCGTTTTACAAATTATCAAAAAGAAGCAGATGCCCGATGTGTCCTTTCGCGCCAAGTCACGAATGATGATTGGGGGAAAATACCAACGCGTATCAAGCAAGTGTTTGGCCAATCACTGCAAATTGCTGCAGCATTGGCCCGCTGCTCTGTTCTGCAAGCATGAGGTTCGTTTGTGCGAAAACAGTACGGGCCTGCGTCGGGGTTGCGGTGCTTGCTCGGTGAACGGAATTGCTCCCCCCACCCAACCGGACCAACCCCCCCCCCCCGGCAAAAGAGAAATGTCTCGAGAGTGAATAAACGCGTTTTGACTGGCGGTCGATAAAGGGTCTCTCACCCTTTAGTTGGGTTTGTGGGGGTGTCCATTGAAACCACTAGAAGTTAAACTTTTAGCAGGGGATCTGAGGACAGCCCAGTTCAAGGAAGGGGTGTGGTTTGGGTGTTCTCGTGAGAGATTTGCGTGGCAAAAGTTGGCACCCAAACAAATTTGCTTTTCCATTGGGGTTCTCCTTCAAACCACCCGACCAAGGGTACCCTGAACACAACACACATGCCCCACACTATTCTTGGGTGGCACGTGCCCAAAGTGTTTGATTCGCGCAAAGGGAGACCAACAGGGGATGGGTATGTGTTACTCCCCTTATTTAACACCCAGTAAGAACGCTGGCGGGAGGGAGTTGGAATGTAGAAGGCTACCATCCCCTTGAAAGGCCCATCTTCCATGATTTTTTCGCAAGCAGTGTAAGCGGCATGGTTTTTTTCAGGTACTTGAAAGCCACGCCTAGTCATGATCATAAAGTACCAAGGTAAAACTGGTGCGTAATGATGTACCACCGCGTATTGTCACTAGGCATGCATCCCCCAGTGTTGCTTTACAGCATGGACTACATATGAAACATGAGCTGAACATAATATGTTTTCTTGTCACTGGGTTCTCTAAGTCACCTTGTTTTTTGGTGGGGATTGAACCAACAGGGCCGGGTTGGGGAAGCAAGTGCCTGCTAGAACAAACCCACCACCAAATCCAGGCCAGATGGATGTGGGTGTGGGTCAAAATTGAATCACCAGGGGATTTCAGGTTTTAGTCCATGTGTCCATTTACCAGGGTTCCATTTTGGGTACCTATTTTTGGTTCCAGGGTGAAATGCGGCCTCACGTCGTCGGCTTCGCCAGGCGCTGGAGGCGGCGGCCTTGGACGCTGGCGCGGTGCTCACCTGCCTGCAGCAGACGAAAAGCGATGGCCGCCTGGGGCCAAGGCGGTGGGCCTTGGCCGCCAGCTTCCTGAAGCGCCTGGGCCAAAGACGAGAGGGCAGACCTAAACCTGAAGTTGAAACCAGGGGAATTGGTGGAATTCTTTCGGGCAATCAAATAATGGAGCCATATGGACCCCTGGCCTCACCCCATAATTTTGGTTAAAAAGTATGTTTCCTTGTGGCGGGCATGTGGCTTTTCCAGATCTTCAGTGGATTCGGCCCATTCAAATCCCTACTGAGCCCCTTTAAAGTGATCATGTGATCATAGAAGGCATAATTTTCCTCAGCTGTGCTTTGCCCCTCTGTCAGGCGCAGGTCCAAGGGTGGTGTCTCGTTGCTGCAGCTGGCGGAGCTTATGGCAGTGGCAGCGGCGGCGGAACTGCCCCGAGACTTTGCTCCGCGGTGGAAGGTGGATGGCGGAACTGCTCAACCCGATCAGCCATACTCTTAAACATGAAAGTGGAGGAGGGGGAGTGACAGCTGGAGATTATACGTCCATGTTCTCTTTTTTGGGCAAGGGGACCTTTTGTAGGGTGTCACCGCGCTCCGAAAACCTACCTTCTTCCCGTGATATATGTCAGAAAGGCGCCCTAGGGCACAGGTGATGCAGATGATACCCGTTTTTTGGTGGGGTGCTTGATGTTTTTGCGTTCAAGCGCGAAACTCTTCTAGGGGCTTCAAGGAAAGCGTCCATGTCTAGTTTTGAGAAGAGCCCTTTCCTGGCTTTCTGCCTTTCAAAAGCTCTGCTTTGACCTTTTCAACCGCCTATGGTTACAACCCCGTGATTTTGGCAGCCCTCGGGGTGCGGCTCGCTATCTCCCCGAGTTTTGGGACACAAATTTCTGGGGTTTTCCCAGATATTTGATATGTGTTAAGGCTGGCTAGATATGAAACAGACTCTGAAGATCATGTTTTGGTGTGCCCGAACAAATAGGCCGAGTGTTTCCTCAAAGCTTGGACGTTTTTTCCGGCCAACCCACGAAAACCAACTCCTTTTCGATTTCCCTAGGGATGCGTAAAGTTGACATAGGATACTGGGCCACTTTGACACGAGTCCTCTCCCTCCCTCCTTGGGTGTTGCTTAAGGAAAATACGGGGAGCTCTGTAAACCCAGGTGGCTGACCTCATATCCGACGCCTTCAGCTCCGCCCCACCCGTCACTTCGGCCTGGCTGAAAACCGCCGCGGCGCTGACTGAGAGCCCCGCGATCGCCGCGCTGGCAAAAAGCTTCCAGGCGCCACCTGGGTCGAGGCGACACGAATGTATCGTTTTAGTACCCTCCCGGTCCACTAACACAGCATTTGTGGGAGGCTACCAGGAAGATCAGTTTCCTCTGTTAGGTGCCATGTTCGTGGGAGGGAGGGTGCTTCTTTTAGATCTGTCTTAGTTGTTGTTTCCTGCTTGTTAGTGCGTTTGGTGTGTGCGTGGTTTGGTTCAGAATTGGGAACCCTTTTGGCGGCCTTGTTGGGCCGGAAACCCGTTGGTTCCGTATTTCGCATGCTGATGTGGTTGATTGCTTGCTTGCTTGGCTTGTTTGGCTGGCTGGGCAACACAAAGGGCACCGTTTTGCCCAACCAACAACATGGAAGCCACCAGGTGCCCCGAAAGAGCATTCCACAGCCGCATTCCCCTCAGAAAGTCGCTTTCTACTTTGCTCCCTTGCATCAAAGCAACCCTGAGCGACCCCAAAACAATTACACTTCGCAAACATGCGGGGAGTTCCCAGAAAATGGGTGGGCCACACATTTGGGTGTCCCTGCGCTGACTGAAAGTTGTTTTTGACTATAGCCAAGCCAAGCCTGCCCCAGTGCCAGCTTGGCCTGGCACCCAACAAACTGAGTTGACCCCAGGATCCCCAGGCATCAATCACCGAATGAGCGTCTCATGACGCGAACCCATGGGATCTCCATGTGCTCCTTCGAGCCCCATTCCCAGGATTGGGTCTATAAGTACACATTATAAATAGAAGTCTCAACACATGGTCCGCCCTAAGACCCCCCAAAACAAAACAAAAAAGAAAGTGTGCCAAATATATTTAGTACCAAAGCCTGCGGCATTCAACCATACTCTCCTGACAATCATCCGCCAATCCGCAGAGGCCTGACCCAAGGCTCAACATGAGACAGATCCTTCACTTGCAAAAGGCGGATCTTTTGGGCCAATGGTCAAGTGAACCAGGGCCTTGCCTTAGCTTTTCTGACAATAGAATGCCTCCGGTTTCTTCAGGGATCCTTCTCTCCAGAAAGCCACCCAGGAGAAGTCTCTGTTCCTTGAAGCACTCACGATGATTGAAATGAAGGATGCAACCCCCAGAAAGTTCGGGCCGACCGTTCAGGAATGAGCTGAGGAACCCCTGTTTTGTCGCTTGGACAGCAAAAAGTTGCAGGCCCCTCGTTTTGCGCAGCTGCAGAGATGTCTGGCGGAGGGTGCGGCGGAAGGCTTGCCTCAGCGCTTCCTTGAGGAGGCAGACGTGGATGAAAGAAACGAAAATTCCCCAAGCAGGGATGGAATTCTGATTCATGTCCGTTTTCTTGGAGCGGGCGCCCTAAACCAACAACCCACTCCAACCGCATGAACGCAGCTGTTTGGTTGGCAACTCTGACCTCACCCCCCTCTTTCCCGAGTCCCTTGAGCTTTTGGATGTTTGGGACGACCCTTTGCAGCCTTTCAGTGGCACAAATTGGCTAATCCACTCCGGAAGTGAGGCTTTCATACTTTCCTGGAGAAGTGAGCGTTCGCTTCGCTCACAAACAAAAAAAGAGCTTCAGACACCAAGCAGGTCACCCGTGGATGGGACCATGCCAGCATCCGTTTCTTTCGGTGTCCGGGGTGCCCAAATAAAATGTATAAAATGGTCATCATGATCAGCAATTAGCTTGGTGGAGAGAGCTGCAGCTTCTGGCAAAAAGCTGCTCGTAGACCAACCACTAATAACCTGCAGGGGTTCCGACGTGTTAATACGGAGATTCATCAGTGACGGGATGGTACTTCTTCCCAACATCCTGATTCCAATGCCGACCGGTTGACCTTTTGATTCCCCATGTTGGTCCAGGTTTGGTCAATGTCCCAGAAGGCTACGTAAGCTTTCATTTTAGTTTCCTTGGGGCAACTGAGTATGGGTCCATGCTTCGCTGAACAGCGCTCCAAATTCAATCATGAACGGAGCAAGCGGGGGCACCAAAAGGTGACCCATTTGACAACTCGGCAGGAAATCAGGTGGCGGTTGATGCAAGTGAACAGGCCTGAAGTGCCGCCAGCAACTTCAAATGGAACCCAAGAAAAGGGGGCCTGAAAAGGAGCTCTACAAATGATGAGTGTTTGGTCTCCATGACAATCTGCGGGGGAGTGGGAATTGATAGTGATGCATCGGGTAGAAGATGATAACACGCCCAAGAGTCGGATACGGTTCAGGCATAGGCAATCCAAGCAATCCGATATGCGTCACATTGACCATCCACAATTGGATATTCGTTCAAATAAAGCATAGACGCACGATTACGACAGAATCGATTGTGATACATACAATGTGTGCAAAACATGTCGATAAACAAACCTTCTGTGTAAAGATACATAAAAATACATATGTATATATATATATATATATTCATATGTACCTACATACATACATACATACATACATACATACATACATACATACATACATACATACATACATACATACATACATACATACATACATACATACATACATACATACATACATACATACATACATACATACATACATACATACATACATACATACATACATACATACATACATACATACATACATACATACATACATACATACATACGCACATACATACATACATACATACATACATACATACATACATACATACATACATACATACATACATACATACATACATACATACATGTGTATATATATATATATACATATACACACACATAAATGCACATGTAGAAACGCGCGCATTTGCATCACACATATATATATATATATATTTGAATATAGGTATATGTATAGTATTTGTATGTGTTGGATTCTCCAGGCATAGGTTTTGTTTGCATAGCGAGCTTGCTTCGATTCCCCGGCCAGGTGGAGGTCGCCTCCGCACGCCGGCGCTTAGCGGCAGGCCGGGCGTGGGTCCATCGTTCCTTACTTGTCCAAGGCAAACACAAACAATTTTTGAAGCTTTCTTTTTTCTGGTGGTTCATTTTTGGTGGCCGCAACCTTAATTTTGGGGGCGGTGCTTTAGGCAGGATAACAACCCATTTTTGTTTGCCGGGGGGCTCCATCTTTTACGTGAAGCACGCAATTTCCTGTTTGGTTCTCCGGGAAGTAGCTCGACGAGCCGAAAATGAGTGAAAACCCAATGATGCAGTTGCTTTAGTGCGGGTTCCAACTCTTATGTCATTTCTTGGGAGTATGGGAAACGTGTCATTTACATTCCTTTTGATTCCTGTGTGGTTGAGGCTCCGACCACTGCAAATTTAAAAAAGGTCATCGGAGTCTTTTTCTGGTTTGAATTCCTAGCAAAGTTGCACCATGACCATGGCTACAGGGGTTGCACTTTGGCGGGTTCTAAAGAAAATGCTTCTTGTGCAAGTTCAAAAAGGGGGAATTGAGGGATGGGCCCCAAACACCTACCCATGGGAAAGGACCAAATCGACCAAAGTTGGAGCTGGAAACAATTATTTCTGTGGTGTGTTAACATTCCGTGTTTTTGTCCACTGTAAAGTGGATTTCCTTGGTATCTTCAAAGCCGAATGCTTTGAACCTCCAGTTCCCCTGAAGCCAAACGGCAAGGTACTCCTAACCTTCAACCACCAATCCACACCACTAAATGGAGAATAACTATTGATGGCGCGAACTGAAAGCCATGAAGTCATGAGGGTCCCCTGGCTATACATGCTTTCAGTTTTTCCCAAGGAAACCTTGGAACACGTATGAAAAGGGGTTCCCTTAGAGGACGCGGAAGGATGTGGACACCCCTCCTCCGTTTTGACCTGCCCCTTTAGCAACCATGGACCATGCGGATTAAAGAAAAAAAAAACGCCTTGCCCCTTTAGCAACCATGCTGGATGAGAAACGAAGCAAATCCGCTATTGTTCCAAGCAGGCTCAGGGGCCGCTAAAAGGCATCTTTATCAGGTTCAGGCTCAAACAGGCCTGCTATTGGCTTGCATCTACATAATTTGCAGAACTGACAGAATGAATTTTAATGACAGAGTAAGGAACCTTCGTCATGGCATGCTCGTATTTCCCCAAGGTGAGCTATATGATTTGCCCAGCCATGAAAGAGCAACAAGCAACCAGACATGTCAACTTTCATTCACCTCGGTCTTGATAGCTCAAAGCGTCAGTGGCCCATTGTTGTTCTTTTTACTAGGATGATTTTGGGCTTCAGCCCTTCTGTTCGAGTGCTGCCTGGGAATGTTCGATCCAACGGTTTTTTGCTTGTTTCATCTACCCCGTCAACCCAGGCATAAAAGAAATCAAAATCAAACCCTTCTTGGCCGGCAACTCCAATTTTAGTGTATGGAACTCAAACAACAAAGGATTTGAACCATTCTGTTAGATCAACTTGTGGAAGAAATCAGCTACATGATTTTCAGGACAAAATTGGCCAACCACCCAAAAACCAGGTAATTCCTTCAACATCTCCTGGTTTCGCGCTTCTTATAAACCTTCCGGGGGAAATCCACCCGCTTGAGCCTCGGTCGAGACGCACTCCGAGGGCGCTACCACTCGGTGGTCCTGGCAGACGATGGCGCCGTGGCCTTCGGCCTCAACGGCGCCGGGGAGTCGCTGCTGCCCAAACTGCCGGAAGGTGTCAGGCCGGGCGCCCGACCTGCTTCCCTTTCCCGTGGTGCTTTTTTTGTTTTTTTGGGGGGGGGGTTTGTGTGTAAGGAGGATGTTTACGGACTGGGGTGTTGGAATTCTTCGCTCTTTTTTTGTTTGCTTTAATACAGGAGGTAGATGAGGAATGGTGTGTTGAAATCATCTAAGTGGACGGAACCCAAACGAAGATTATTTGAACCAGAAAGCAAATGAGCAAGTGGTCTGAAACCATTGTCGATGGAACCCAAGCCAAAAAGGATTTGAACGGTTTCGCCTATGCTTTACTTCATGTTCCGCAAGGTGAACTTGCTTCAGGGCGTCGGAACATGGCAAGAACGTGCTGCATGCATATCCGCTGAGGGGGAGAAGGGGAGGGTGGGGCAAGCCAAAGGGTTCTCCCCATAGTGCAAGAGTTTTGTGACTCTGCAGGCACTTCCACTTGGCTGGGCTCTTTATTAGTGGAAAGGCCCAGCCAAAAATATTGTGTTTTCTGGCAGGTCCACTCGGATGCTCACAATAAGCCACGGATTCCCCTGCAAGCGAAAGCACAAAGGATGGATAGCCTTCATTCATCCATACCTTCTATTGCCACACAGTTCAAACAGGGCCACCCTTGTCGCAGCCTTTGCTTTGCAATCTGGTTGTGAACTATTCATCAAGTAATCCGAAGAGACTTTGTTGCATGGCCATTGGACAAGTGGGAATTGGGCTTGCGGCTAAAATCGCGAATATTGCAAGCAGGGAGCATCTTACGAATGGTGTAGAACTCTGGTCAGCGGATGTAGCAACTCCCCTGTGTTGGAAGCAGGGGGCAGAAGTGTCGCAATATAAGAGCAGCAAGCAGGCTGTGTCAAACAGTTAATGCGTTTATGCAGCAGTTGGATTGGGTAGGCTGGGTGCATAATGCTTGATTTCCCCTCAGAGGAGGACGCCTTGTTTTAATTGGGCTGGATGCGAGTTTCAATTGTGCAGACACGTATTTAGCACCAAGCAGAGATCCTTTGTGCTATGTGTCTTGGATCTCCTTGAACAATGTGAAACCACCAGGTCTGGCGCAAACGCGTGGGTTTTGGACTCGATTTTCCATGGGCCTAAAGCCATGGGTTTCCGAACCTCCAAAAGCTGCTAAGTGGCACGTAATGTGTGCTCTAGAGGACACCAAAAAGCCATGCAACAAACGTAATTACGCTGTTCTCAGATGCCGGATTTTGGCACGTACCTTTCGAGGTATGTGGCAGTGGCGGCCGGGGTGCAGCATACCGTGCTGCTGCGCAGCGATGGCACTGTGGCACTTGGGCGTAAAAAAACACATGGTTGTCTTTCCTGATGCTATGAACATTTATAGGGAACCACCTCAAAAGTGGATGGTGGAAAGGCATGCCCACCTTTTGTTGACGTCCACCATAGTCAACATTCACACCCATACTATTTGTTCTTAGTCAACATGTACTCATTGTTCTTATTATTATTTGTTATTCAAGCAAGTACTCCAGCCAAAACCAACCCCTCACCCCAACCAAATCAGCCCCAACCACGGGACACCAACCAAGTGGAGAGTTGGCGCCGAGGCATGCTGCGGCCTGAACCTCGACGGCCAAGCTTCGGCGCCCCAGACGTTTCCACCGGGGCGGCGAGTCGCGGCGGTGGCCGCTGGGGGCTTCCACTCGATTCTGATGGACGCACCTCGGAAGCAGACGGGCGGCAGGGTGAGATTTCGGGAAGTCTATGGTTTTCAGCTTAGTTGTGTGTGGCAGGGCAAGGAATTTGGAGCCAACAGGGGGGGGGGAAGGGAATTGGAACTTGCAATTCCTTCCAGCGTCTCGGGGTCGGGTTTCTCTTGGTGCATGTCCCTATTTTCGGGGAACAGGAGGTGGGTACTCTAGGGTGAAAGTAGGTGGCACTACTCGTTTTGTTGGGTACTTGACGAGGGTGACCAAACCCAAATGGGCTTCAAATGGGTGAATGGCGCCATCTACTTGCACCCTGTGATAGAAAACACCCAGCAGATTAACCTGGAGCCCAAGAAACAGGAGGAACCTTTGTGGGTTCCATTATTCGTCTGAGCAATCCGCAGGACACTGGCTGCTGCTGCGGTTTTGGTTGCAACAGCTATGGCCAAGCCGAGCTCTCGCCAGTTCCTTGCATCTCCGTGGCCGCCGGGCTCTTCCATACGGTTCGTGCCGCTCGGATCTGCGAGTAGGTAGCCCCAGGACCAGGACCCCCCTTTTAAAAATCAAGTGGAACATGGCGGGGTAGCTACTATACTACTGGGATCCATTGGGCTGGGTTGAGGTTGCGATGTTTCTCCGGCTGCAGGTTCTCCACGACGGTACGGCGCAGTGCGTGGGCTTGAACTCCCACGGCCAGTGCGAAGCGCCGACGCTTTGGGGGGATCAACGATACATGGCCGGACTTAGCTCACCTTCGTGATGGTTTTTTTGTGGGTTTCCTTGCGTCCCCCCCTGTCAACCACTGTTTTCCCTTGGCTTCCCTCAAGTTGTTCCGCTTTTTGGAAGCCCTTGCACTTTTGGATCTCCCCACAGAATTGGTGAACATGAGAAGGGATGCCCCCGCTTGCCTTTTTGCAGTGGCTTTCCTCCATATTCGTTTTCGAGCCTTCCCTAAAAAAGCGCCGCCACGCCATGCCTCGTCACTTCAAGTAGCAGATCTCAACCAGCTGAGCTCCTGGACTTCCCGCCAAGTCTTCGGCCGTTAGGATACGTGCTGGCAGCTGCCGGCGGGAGGCACTCCGTGCTGCTGCGCCAGGATGGCCAGGCGGGGAAGTGGGTGGATCGAAACTCATATGGCTGTGGGTCAAAACCAATGGTGCCATTTTGGGGGAGGTGCACCACCCATTTTAGTCCATTTTAGTGGGGATTGGGATGTTCACTGGGGGTACGGGGTTTTGACCCATGGCCATATGCATAGGTAGGGTTTCCCTTGTGACCTTTCCTCTGCGGGTTTTCTACTACACCACGGGGAAGAGGTACCGAGCCTCCAAAACCACACGCCCGCACTGGTAATAAACTGCCAGCCGAAATCAGCCGAATATTCCGAACGACTTGGGGCACATAATTGAATCCTTTGTGATTCAACTCTTCGTCTGTTTAGAGGGTGTCTCAGCATAGGGAAATCTGCTAATTGTACTGGAAGCTCCAATTTCCGAAACATGACTCCTCTACTTGCATGTTTGGCACGGGCGAGGTGTGAGAATGGACCAGTACACTGGAAAAAAAAGGTGAACAGCTCGATTTGATGGACTGGGCCAATAATGCAAAGAATATGTAAACAAAGTGCTTTGAAAGGCCTGTGCAAACATCGTCCTCAACCTGACACCAACTCGTCAACACGAACCCATAGCCGAATCCTGCTGCGTTTGGCCAATCGAGCCATTATCAAACAGCTGAGCGGTTCAACACGGGAGAATTCACAATCTGGAGCGGACACCACAGCTTCGCATTGGTCTTCGGTGCGAACACTCGATATTTATCGTTTTAGCGTTTGGAAGTTTTCCACCTGAAATTATTGGATGGCTGACAGCGAACGTTGTGTCAAAGTAATTCATTACTCTCCATCAAGCGTTGCCATGTCTGACAAATGGTCCCTTCGAAAGGAAAAATCGATTTCAGGTACAGCTGCTAGTGGGAAGGGCGTGTCACCTAACCACGAAGAGAATGCGAGCGCTGGAAATGCCAGCCCTGGGGTTTGAACCAGTGACTTCATTCTGCTCGTGAAATACCGCTAGAGAGGAGGTGAGCCTGTTTCTACCTAAAAGCATACTTTAGATTTAGCACAATATGGGCCAAAACCAGTGATTGTGGTTGTTGCACCCCAGAGTTGGGCCAAAATCTTGGATGGGTTCAACACATGGCTATGATGCACATCCAAACAAACAAACAGCCAACCAACCAACCAACCAAACACAGAAATAAACAAACAAACAATCACACACACAAGGCCTTTCGCCCCTTCCAATGTTGAATTCTCCGTGGCGGAACTTTTAGCAGGCTCTCGCCTTTGGCTGCAACGCCCATGGCCAATGTGACGTGCCTCCGCTGCCGGCTGCCTTGCGCTGCCCAGTAAAACGACACTGGGGGGCCGGGTGTGTGTGTGTGTGTGTCAAAACTTTGGTGCTGTTAGGACTTTAACTTTTAGCCCACTAATGGGTTTTCCATTAAACCACCAAAAGTTAAACTTTTAGCAGGGGAGCAGAAAGCACCCGAGAAAAGATGGCCCCTTGTTGTACCTTGGTGCCACCTTGTGCCGTTTTTAAAGGGACAGAGAATAAAGGGCCCCAATGAAATTTTGACAACCCCTCCATGCTTTCTGCACCCGTTTCAATGTTGTGCTTGCGTTTTTTTTTTGCAAGGGGGCCTGACTTCAGACTTCCACTGGACAACTGGGTTTCTCTGTGAGGATCAGGTCATACTATCTCTTGTATTTTGGACGACCCACACACACACACATTTTTCCATGTCCTCGTTGCTTATTTGGAATTTGGACCACGCCTCAGCGTTCTGATTTTGAAATCTCAGGCTACCTGGACGTCGCCTGCGGTGAGTGCCACACCGTGCTGCTGCGCTCGGACGGGGTGGCCCTGGCGCTGGGCCAGAGCTCACCGCCAAAGGGGCGCTTCGCACCTTGGATTCGCCGCGTGGGCGTGTAGCCCTCATGGCTACCAGTTGGTGGGGATCCTGACGCCGTTCTCCTGCTTTCGTTGGATAGGAGGAACGTTTTCCAAAGCAGGGTTCGTGCTTTCCTGACTTGCAGTTAGCTGTGGGGATCTTTGCTCTCCAATTGGTGGTTTGGATAGGTGGTTTGGAGCTTAGGGGTACCTTGCCGTTTGATGTTAAAAGGAACTGGAAATCAAAGTGGTGCTGTGGAACATTTGGTTTTAGGGCCACCCTTGAAGTTTGTGATGATTATTGGGTACGGAAGGCTCGGAGTCGTATTTACCGCGCGGCAGTCAATGGTGTTGCTGACAATGTGAACATTCGAAGTTCTGATTCTTGAATGCTTTGGTAGAACAGCCAGCAGTGCTGTTGTGCGGATGGTCCTCACCAAGCTCCCGATAGCGTCCGGCACAGACTCCGGAGCCAAAGACGGCCAGCTTCTGTAAAACCAAGGTTGGCAAGCAATGCCTCCAATAAGCCTTAGGAAACTGACCCAGAGTCAAGCACTGGTCGGGAACTGACCCAGAGTGCCAATGTGTGGGCAGCCGGACACATTGGCTCAGCGCCTGGGCACGTGCTTGCCGTGCGAATCAGTCCCGAGTTGCGCCAACTGAGAGAGACACACACACAAGGTGCGTGACTTGACCGCGGCCACTTCTCCCACTTGCGCCAGGGCAGGTTTCGCAAACATGCCATACCATTTTACATTTTTCCAACTGGCCTGAAGGGCGAGGGGGCTGTGCTTCCGCGTTTTGTCTGTGTGTGTGTGTGTGCGTGCTGCCCCCCAGCCGCCTACTCATTCGACGCGCGGGCATCACAGCCGTTGGAAGCAATTCACGCACTGGTCGTATTTCAGAGATATTAGGACGCGGCAGGAATGTTCGCAATTGCTGGCATGATTGCCGCGAGACTTCACAAGACAAAGCGTGTGGGAAGTGATATGCAGAGAACACCTGTAAAGTGATAAAGTAGGAGACGGTGGGAATCGGCAAGTATCGCTGTGTAGTTTATCCAACCGTCCAACCATGCTTGTAGCAGGCGTAAAACAGACTTTGATATTCTTTGCAGGTCCTACGACTTGGGGATCCCGTATTTCGTGTTTTGGAAGCGCCTTCAATGTAAATAGCAGGTGGCAGCAAATTGGCGGGGGATCAACAGCTCGCGTATAATGATTATTCTGATTCCCCCGCTGCCCCGTGAAGCAATTTGGGAAGATCATCGTGTTCGACCGATCCACTCGGAAAGCGTGGAAGCGGGGTGTGTCAAAATACCCCCGAAAATGGTTGTCTTCCTATCCGCTTCCCTTGACACCATGGCCAAAAGGATTCCGAGCCAACGAACGGCCCAGTGAGCCTTTCCTTGGCTTCGAAGCCACGTTAGGTGGCCGCAGCCGCTGGTGGCCACACCCTGCTGCTGCGCAGCGACGGCAAAGTGATCGCCCACGGAGCGAACGGAGAGGGCCAGTGCAATGTGCCCATGGCCTTGCGGTGAAGGCGTGGGTGGCTGAGCCGCTTGTCGGAGGTTGATTCTTTGTTGCGCGTGGGGCGCAACCAAACACAAGGGACAGCTGCTTCTTGCGGCATTGATTTGTCGAATCAACCCGCGTGCTCACCAACGATCTGGTCTCCACCCGTCACGTGTTGGTTTAGAACAAGGATTTACCATTGCTGAGTGCAAATCATGGTTGCCAACCAGAAGTGGGCACGGCCGCCCGTGCCATGGTTGTTGGAGAGACCATTCCAATACCAGGTTGTGAATGTGACTCACTTGGCCACCAAACAAAGAGCGCTCGTGGTGCCAAGGCTGTTGAGCGAGCAAGGCTGGGAAGGCTCAAGCAACATTTGAACCCTGAAACCCAGGTTGGTCAAATTGAGGCAGACTGTACAGGGACAATTTATTATGATTAATCTGCTTTGCTTTGCTGAGGTGTGGCCAGATTTGTTGCTAACAATTGTTGTTTTGCATGTCAAGTCTTCAAGGAGTGTTGCCTTCCTGGATTGATGGGGGGTTCAGGGTCTTATCATGCAAGTCTTGAAGTCTTGGGACTTGCCTGGGTACACCAGCGATGCTGCAAGATCTCGACAGGGTTGTGCGAAAGTCGGTTGAAAAGTATGGGTTTGAGCATGTTTTGAACGTGGATAGCCCAACCCCGAAAACAATCAGGTCTCTCTATGCAATGAATAATCCATCCTCTATGGCAAACTGTGCTATTCCTTTTCCTTTCATGTCACTGGTCATTTGGGGGACCTCGCTTTCCGATTTGAACTTGAGGCTTGACAGGCGCGCGGAAAACGTGAAGCACCGTCTCGCTTCGAAGTTCGACCTGGGCATCCTGCGGCCACAGAGAAGATCGCGCTGATTTGGCATAGGCTGCAGCAGGCGGGCGGCATTTGATGATGTAAACGGATACCTGGACCTTCAAAAAGACCCGCAAGAAGCGGATAGTGCTCACACTTATGGGGAGACTTCCCATGTTCAAGGTAGTTTGAGGGTCCAGGGAAGAAACAATTACAATGGGGGGTGTTGGGGTACTTGTATAGGACCAAATTTGGTCATGAGAAACAGTGTGTGTGTGTAACTATGTTGCCCCATTTGGTGCAGAGGTGTTTTCTGTCTTTTTTGTTTCACTGCAACTGCTTGACCCGTAGGGCACGCATGTCAATCTTTCCGGCTTTCGGAAGGCCACGGGCGAGCAGCGCGACGCAGAGTTCCAGCGGTTGCCGGAGTGTCTCGGATAAAAGGGGGCCTCTTCCAAATTTCATTGACCTGTTTTGACTTGGTGGCTAGAAGGCCATCCGGTTCCTTAGCCTTTTACACTTTTAGTGTTTAGTGGGGGTTTCCATTTAACCCACCAAAAGTTAAACTTTTAGCAGGGGATCTGAGGGCAGCCCAGTTGAGGGTTTCTCGGTCAGATGCAATGAGTTTCTTGCCCAAGATGTTGCAGGTCCCGAGCACTTCGAGGCATTTGCGTTTAGAGCTCTCAATGCCAACTTATGCACAAGAGTGGCTTGTGCAATATGAGCTTACGATTGGAGGTCCCAAATTGTACTTGCGATTGATGGCATCTTCATTTGAATGCAATCCTTTAGGGGGTGGGGTCGAGTGTTATGTGCAGTATATCCTGGGGCAGGCTCAGTTTGCAGAATCTGACCACATGTTCTTGGTGTACCTGGAGATTGGACCAGGAGATCTGCTTTATCAGCCCCCAAGACAGGTTGCCGCGTTCGAACAACAGGGTTCCTTCTTGTCGGGCCCCTTTGTTTTGCCCAAGCCTGTTTTTGTTGATCTTGAACAGGTTTTTGAGGTCACGTTTGTCAGCATGCGAGGACGTGCAAAAACAGAATGTCCAGAGTCACAGCCATGCCAATGGGACCAGGAAGATCATGACCCATGGTCTTTGGCACGTCGCCTCGTCATGAATGTGTTTTTCTTACGCCTCCGAATCAGAAAATGCAAATACGCTTTGGCCTCTTGTGGCCTTGTTGATAACTGTTGCATTCACCGGGACCTGCAGTTGTTTATGTTTATTTATTTTCTTGGGTTGGTTTGACTGAGATTGTTTTTTTGCATCAGTTGCCAGAAACAAGGCACCTTTCTTTTCATGGAGCTTGCAAGGGTGAAACTTGCAAGCCGACCGAATCCAGACCCCCAGCTTGTTTAGTCGAGGCGAGGAGAAGATTCCCTTCCTCGGGGCAGTGATTGACGGCGGCGTGCGGCGTGCTTTCCGGCCCAGAAGGTTGCAACTGGCAGGAGATTTGGCGTGAGCTCTGTAGGGCTGGGACAACGCTTTGGCCAGTGCGGCAGAAAAGGCTGTAGCCGGATATGTTCGGGATTCCTGCCGTATAATATAGTTAGAAGTAATTTTGTTGACAGTGAAAGCGATAACTTGGAGTATATAGCATTTGGCCGCGAAATCACCCAGCAGTTTTCCCAGAGGGGGGGGGAATCAAGTGAAATCCGAACTGCAATTTGTAAACGCAGAGAGTCGATTGGACAGCCTTTGGCGAGATGCTGGAGTGTTCGATTTCCCAAACTGATCACAGGATGGAAATTGCCATGTTACAGAGGCCAACTCACAGCATGAAGCAGGGCGAAATAGGGCAGACCTTTGGTACATGGTTTTGAAGCCTTTGGGCATGGTCCAACAGAACTAGGCTTCAATGGATAGGGTTGCCTGACAATGCCCTGGTCTGATTCTTCCTGAGCACCTTCAAAAGCACGCACACACACACACACATACTCACGTGCGTTGTGACTCAGGAAGTCCCCCGCCCAGCTGTGGGTGCGATATACACATCCACCAAAGGAAACAAGGGGATGTGATTTGTTGATATACCTGCAAGGAGATGTCATTTTTTGTAGATCTCCCTAACCCTAGGTGTTGAGCATATGTTTTTTGGGTTCCTAGATTTCCTACTCAGTATCAAACTAGCGGGATCCCACACCTAGGTGGTTTTCCTTGTGATTTCCCACCCTAAAAAGGGCACCGTCCAAAAAGACGAGCCACCCATGTTTGACCCCTGCTCCCTTTGAGCGCTTGCACGCTGGCCGCAGCTTAGGGCCAAAGAGTCGCGGTCAAAAAAACAAATGCCGTTGAACGTTGCAAGGAGATAAACCCGGAAGGCAAATGCACAGCCAACAAAGCAGACATGGGATCTGAAAGACCTGGCCATAAGTGCCACACACCCACACACACAGAGAGCGCATTTGAGACATGCAGTTTGGTCTTCCATGCGCAACTGTAACAGCCGTTGCGCTCATTGTGATCAATCACTCGGCCTACGTATTGCAGATCAGTTTCGCCACACGCCCATGGCCGTGATGCCGCCCGGCATGCCGCAATGCTTCAACTCGGTGTGCTCATGCTGCTGGTCTCAAATGCGAGGAGGGGGGGAGTCTCAAAACAAGAATGGTTTCATAGAAGTGGCTGGTTTGCTCCTTCTTTTACATACCAGTGAGGAGGGAAGCAGCATGCCTTTCCACATGAGGTCCC